TGTCAACTGTATTTCCCCCAGGCAAGGCAGATGTCTATGTGGGAAAGATGTCCTCCACTGTGTGAGGGAATGACTCAGCCCAGGAAACTTGGGGTGTCTGCCTTCTGAGCTCTATCCCTAGAGTCCCCAGTCCTGGGTTCTGCTCTCACAGCTCTAGTCCACTTCACCCTCCCTCTGCCAGAGCACAAGGTGGGTGGCTCCACAGGGAATTTTTGTGCATTGTCCCTTTAAGAGGGTGCTCGAACTTTGAGCTTCTACTCCCTGGCAGACAGCACCCCACTGCTTTTCACAACTAGATATTATGTGGGTACCCTCCTCAGTTTGGTGCTCTCTGCTAGGGAGCCCAGCTTTGGGATTAGACCCTAGTAGCTCTCAGTGGCACCCCCCCACAACTGAGATATCTCTCTGGGACTTCAGTTCCTGTCTGTGGGCACCTGGCCAGCCCTTTTGCACCACCATCCCTCCTACCAGTCTCTATGCGGCCTCCACCTTTGGTCCGTGGATATCAGGGTTCTCTCCTGTTTTCCATTGACTATTCAGGAAGCCTTTCCGTATTTCAGTTGTAATTCCAGCTTGTTCCTGGGAGCATGTTGGAGCAGCTTCCTCCTACTCTGCCGCCATTTTTAATCTCTCCTAGTTAGTCAGATAATATTTTTTTATTCTTGATCTCTCCCTACCTCTTTTCTCCTAAGACAACAGGCATCTTCTCTGTTTCTATGTGTTCTCTCCCTGTTCCTATGTTGAACTTTCTCTGTTTCTATGCATTTGTACACCTTGTTGCCTATTGCCCTTGTTGCTGCAGCCTCCCCCCGCCTCCCACACACACACCCTTTGTTTTCCCATGCCTCCCTCTTTGAGTCCAGAAACATTTTATTATTTCTGCTTGGTTGGTTTCTCTGATTAGGCTTGCTCAAACTGCCATGTCAGCCCCTGCCTTTGTTTTGCCCTGCCCTATCTACCTGCATTTCAAGTTAATCCTCTCAAAATTATGTCACAGGTGCTGATTTTTCTTTAGAGACTGTTCTATGGTCTCCAGTTTCACTGCTATAGTAGAAACTTACAAACAGCACTCACTAATGAGGATGTTTCCGTAGAATGCTGCACTAACGAAACATGAACATTTGAATTAACACTGGTAGGGGGCTGGTGATCCACAAATGACTTCTTTAGAGATGAAAAGTTACTTATCTTAAAATTAAATGGACAATTTTCCCAATCAGTTATTAAAAAAAATGGTTATTCTACTGTCCCTTTTTGTGGAGGAGACTATATAGTAACTGACAAATCTTTTTAGATTGTTCCTTCATTAAAAATAATTTTTTGAAGCTCTCCCTTTTTAATTATGTATATTTAAAACTTGGGAAAGGAGGGCCTGACCAGATAACTCAGTTGGTTAGAGCATTGTCTCTATGTTACTGCAAAGGGGACCTGTCCCTGAGCAGTCTGTCTAGGGCTGGCCGCTGGTGTGGGGGCTCTTAGTGCAGGAAAAATTTCACAACACGAGTCCAGGTGAGTTTTAGAGGACGTTTATTAAAGCTGGGAACAGTGACACAGGAAGGGCTGGGGAAATGAGCCTAGGCTGGTCTGCTTTAGCTCCCCAGGGAGTCAGAGAAAAGAGGACTTTGGGGACAGGTTCAGGGGGTTGCCTGGAATGAACTGTCAACTGCCCATTGCTGCTCTGGTTGCAAGCCTTGAGGGGAGGGGACCCTTAGAGTTTAAGAGATGCAGGCCTATGAGGGATAGAGCCGGGGAGGGAAGGCACAGATGGCTGGGAGGGAGAGCATGCACTGGACCTTTCTTTTGAGGGGTTTTAAAGGCTGAGGGTTTAGGGATCTCTTAGAGGAGGATCAATAGAATATTCATCAGCTTTATGTTGATTTACCAAAATGAGATTTATTCCCTTAAATTCATCTGTCCTTGGGCATGGTTGGTAAATGGCACTAATTGGATTTCTGCTACCTCCTGAAGTAGGGTGATTTAAACTATTTACCCTCTGTTGGGGAGGAGAAATGTAAACTATTTACTCTTAAGTGTTCCAGGTTTAGGGAAAATAGGATTTACTAGATGGCTGCAAACTGCTGTTTAACTATCTGTCTCAGTTTTTCTATTTTGCTTGTCCAGGTTGTGAGTTTGATCCCCTATCATAGCACATACAAGAATCAATCAATGAATGCATAAATAAATAGAACAACAAATCTCTCTCTTCCTCTATAATCAATCAATCAATAAAAGTTTTTAAAAATGGGTAAAGAAGTCTAATGGGCTCTAGCTGGTTTGGCTCAGTGGATAGAGTGTAGACCTACAGAATGAAGGGTCCCAGGTTCCATTCCCATCAAAGGCATGTACTTCAGTTATGGCCAGGGCTCAATCCCTGGCCCTGGTCAGGGTACGTGTGAGAGGCAACAAATCGATGTGCCTCTCCTACATTGATGTTTCTCTATCTCTTCTCCTCCCTTCCACTTTCTAAAAATCAATGAAAAAAATATCTTTGGGTAAAGATTAAATAACTAACTAAATAAATAAATAAGAAATTTAAAGGATAAATAACAGTAGGTTGATTATCTATCTATGCAGTTAGTTTGTCACAATTCAGTTAAGATGGGTAGTACCTTATTTCACCCATCCTAAGGTCTTCCTTTTATAATTTTAACCTGTGAAATCACTGGTGGCCAGGCAGTGGTCTTGACATACTGGTCATTCCTTGGGCTTACTTGAATGTGGCTGTTTTTCCTGCTGGCATGACTAAGAACTATAATCCCTGGGTGTCTCAGTGTACAAAACATTTGAGAAGCATTTGAAGATGGAGGAAGAGTACTGGCTATTGTCTATAGACCTTCATTGATACCTTCTCTTGGGATCAAAAATAGCAATGTCATGAAAACTTGCCCAATGGGCATCAGTGGCTTGGAGAAAATCCCAGGGATATTACTTGAGCACTTAAAATATGCTACATCATTAATGTTATTGGATAATATTGTTTAGAAAAACAAGAAGATTGCAATATTATCCAGGGTTGAACTATCAATGTGAAGAAGTTTGAGGAATACCTAACAAATTAATTATTTCACTGGTATTTTCTTTTGTATGCATGCATAACAAAACTTATGCCTCATAGGTGTAAAAGAATACTTTTAGTAAGTAAAGTGAAACATTCTAAGTTATAAGAAAGTATTATGGCATAGTTAAAGGGCAGCACTTTTTAAAAAATTTTAGTATTGTCTCATGATAAACTTCTTAGAGTTGATGAAACTGGTTGTTCCTTCATAGAACTGAGATTGCAATCTTCTCCTAGGTTCAGTCCCTGGTTAGGGCTGAGTGCAGGAGGCAACAATCAATGTGTTTCTCTGTCTTTTCTTCTCTCTAAAAATCAATGGAAAAATATCCTCAGGTGAGGATTAAAAACACACACAAGCCCTAGCTGATTTGGCTCAGTGGATAGAATGCTGGCCTGTAGACTGAAGGGTCCAGGGTTCGATTCCGGTCAAGGGCACATGCCTGGGTTGTGGGCTCCATCCCCAGTAGAGTGTGTGCAGGAGGCAGCCAATCAATGATTCTTTTTCATCATTGATGTTTCTGTCTCTCTCCCTCTCCCCTTCCTCTCTGAAATCAATAAAAATGTATTATATATTAAACACACACAAACCATTGCATCATATGCCTATAGCAAAGACGGCAATTAATAATTATTTATTAACTGAATGGATGACGTCAGAAATGTCCAGGGATCTAATTCAAGCTCAGATATCAAATGTGGTCATGAACTAGATACAGTGGTTCTCAACCTTCCTAATGCCGCGACCCTTTAATACAGTTCCTCATGTTGTGGTGACCCCAATTTCATTGTTACAAATTGAACATAATTGAAGCATAGTGATTAATCACAAAAACAATATGTAATTATATATGTGTTTTCCGATGGTCTTAGGCGACCCCCAGGTTAAGAACCTCTGATTACTAGAAGCTGTCTAAAGCTAAAGCTCATCTAAACCAAACACCTCATTAGGCTCATTCCAACCAATTTACAACTCAAGCTATCTCTCTTATGCGTCATTCAATATTCCCTACAAAAGTGGTTCTTTTTCATTTTCAGTATTTCACTAATTTTAAGGAATCTGATAACATAACTTTTATGTTAATGGTTAGCCAGAAATTAAATTTGATGCTGGAAAGGTAACAGTTTAAGTTAGAGGTACCTAGCAAATACTGATCAATTGTCCTGAGACTATCAAAGGAGAGAAAAAAAAAATTCTGTTTTTTGTTTGTTTGTTTTGTTGTGTTTTGGTGGGGCCGATTATTATTATTTTTAAATAAGTAAACGACTACATCTTTGGCAGAGGATCCTTCTAGCTTTCAGAAAAGTTCCTTCAAAGTTCAATTTGCATAAACTAACCTGGGGATCTTGTTATGCAGATTTGATTGGGCAGGTCTGTGATGGTCCTGAGACTGCAGTTTTGACCGCTCCCAAGTGATGCCGCTGGCTTTACACCGTACTTTGCGTTGCCAAACATAGCAATTCTCAACCGCCGTAAGTCACCTAATTCTCGCTTTCAACTTTAAAATGTGGTCCAAATGTGCTTGTTTTGCAAGAGAAAAATTCCCAGAAAACATCTGGCCTGCTAATTTTCTTCACCTTCTAACGGGGAAAAAAAACGCCATTCAGATTTACATCGCCAGCCTCCACACTTGGCGACCTTAAATAGGCTCTGGGACCAAGGAGCCCGTCTATGACCCAGCGCTACGTCTCCTCCGTGTCGCTGCGCGTTGCGGCTCCGGGTCTGCAGAAAACGCCGACCGCGACCGCGGGAGCCCGGGGGTTGCCCGGCGACCCCAGCCGCTGACGCCACTCATTTCCAGGAACCCAGGGCCCACCCTCCCTCCCCCCGCGCGCGACCGCCGATTGGCCGGGAGGGCGCCGGGCGTGACGCAAGGCCCCGCCCTCCCGTCCGTCCGGCTCCGCCCCGCGGGGTGGCCTGGCGGTTTGGTCTGGAGCAGCTGAAACCGGTTTGAGCGCAGCCGCTTTCTGCAGCCGGGCGACGCCGCGGGCCACCTTGGGGAGCGCTGGCGAGGCGCGGACGCCGGAGCCCGGCAGCTCGGCCCGCGGCACTCGCTCTCGGGCGCGGCGGCGGGGACCCGCGGACGCGGACCCGGCAGGTGAGGCGGGCAGCCGGGTGGGCCGGGAGCTCGGTGCGGGGGCCTGGGCGGCCACTCACGTGGCAGCCGAGCTGTCAGGGCGGCCCGGCCCGGGGGACACGGCGGGGCGGGGGGGTGCCGGGACCGGCGGCGGGTCCGAAGGGTGGGCTGGGTCCCCCCAAGCCCGGGCCGGGCACTGCCTGCCGGGGGAAACACCGGCCTGGACGTTCCCTTGGGTAAGTCGGTGGGTAGCATCTTTATTCGACTTTTATTGTTTGCTGCCACGTTTCCGCTGGGCTGGCTGGCTAGCGCTTAGTTCCTCTCGGGGAAAACACTGTGAAGTGTTTTCGATCTGCCGGCATGCAGAGAGCATAGGACCCCCGGAGTACACGGAGGACCGAGTTCCGGAGCGAGGACACACAAATGCAGCGGAGGACCCGCACCCACCGCGGGTCCCGGCCCCCAGCCCCGCGCCACGCTCTTCATCGACCCCCGCGTCGCGGTGTTTTGACAACCGCTTATTTTCTGCCATTGCCCTAAGCACGAGGTCCAGGCCATGCTTGGATAATCCAGTTACTCCAAGAATCCCAAGTGCCTTGCTCTCCCAGGAAAAGGTTCCAGGAATAGACAGACTGCGGTGCCCTCGACATCGTTTGCCCGATGAGCTCGGGGAGAAAGCCTCCCTCCACGGGGTGCCTCGCCAGCCCCCCTGCCCCCCCGCGGCCCTGTTCCAGGGGAGGTCTGCCCTCAAGTCGGCCCTGATTTGTAGAGAATTCTGTCACCTTGAGGCAGCTGTGGAGTCCGATGTGGCACCGGCAGAGGGGAGCTGATGGCCTCAGGCAGGATGTTTGGACCTGAGGATGTTTTTGTGTTGCTGTTTTTTCTTCTTTTTTTTTTTTTTTTATGATGTCGTCTTTATCGTCTTTCACTGTCCCCCTTTTTCTCCCCGGCTCCTGCCCTCTACTCCTCTCCTGCATGTTTCTCCATCTTGCTACATTTCTGACAGTTGTGACTTAGCTAAAAAGTAAATACCGGCTATCAGTACTTTTTCCAAACTCCTCATGTGCTGGCTACAGGTCACGCAATATAAACAGGTAGAACGGCACAAGGTCCTACCTGTTTTTGGTTTGGAGAGGCCCTGGCCGGGTGGCTCAGTTGGTCACACGTGCTAAGGTTGCGGGTTTGATGCCCCAGTCAGGACACATTCAAAGAAGCGACCAAGAAAGGCATAAGTAAGTGCGACAACAAACTGATGTTTGTTTCTCTCTCTCTCTCTCTCTCTCTCTCTCTCTCTCTCTCTCTCTCTCTCAAAATAATTTTTTTAAAAATTAATTTTAAAAAGAACTAGGGCGAGCCAGTATTCTAGTCAAAATAAGACTTAGAAAAGTTGGACTTAAAGAAATAATGACCACAAAATAAATCTCACAGTGGCAAAGTGAGTAAAACTTTATGTACAAAAAGTAGGTTGATGAATCAAATCCTGGTGTTTAACTTAACCAAGAAAAATATATGAAGTATATATGAAAAGGAAAACGTTTCGAAAGACTTTACTGCGTTGTTTAGAAAGTGATTAAGGCATTAACTTGGCTTAATGAAATCCAGAAATCCTTTCTTAATAAAAATTTCTTCATGTCTGCATACATTTTACTAAAACTGGCTCAAAGTATACTGTGGTCAGAGTAGTGGGATCATAATGGTCCTCCACCAAACAAAGAAATTAACTCAGGAAAATGTAGGCATTTCCTATAGTCCTTTCTTACAGCCAGTTATGATACTCAAAGCTGTTGGTGTCTAGGAAAGAGCAAAGAGAATCGGAAACAGCTTTTTCTTTGGAAAAAAATTGGGGGAAAGGAAAACAGTGAGAGATGTTCTTTTTGGCGAGAGAAACATGTTTTAGCTAAAAAAATATCTTTAGCTTAGCTCTAAGTTAAAATGTTCTTATACCTTGGTTTGCTTAAATCTCCTTTTTGTCCCCTAAGCTGGTAAACTAGTAAGGTCACATATTGGAATAGTTTCTTTGACTAAAAGAAGAGAGTAAAATTTATTTTGCTAGGTAGTGTAAACTCAAATATTTTAAAATGTAAGTTGCAATGTCATATTTTGCTAGTTGCTTGAGTCTTTAAAAAATATTAAAGTAGTGTTAAATGCTACTCAAAATCTCAGATAAGAATGCTGTTTAATATTTATCTAAAAGAACGAAATGGAGGTTATATTAAAAAACCAAAAACCTTTGTCAGGAAGCAGTCTATAAAAGAGTGATAGGTGAGTTGATTAAATGATATATAAAATTACATATACAGTCAGCTCATGTATGTAGCATTTTTCATCTTATTTTATGTATATTTGGAAGACCTCCCCTGTTCAAGGTTTTTGTTTCTTTTTGTTTTGTTTTTAACGAAGAGGAAGTGTTATTGGGTGTGTAAATTTCATGTTTTCACCACAGAACAGTATTTTACTTAGTCACCACTGTTTTTGTGATAGCTGGTGCTTGGGTGCTTCAATCCTGCACCAGAATTTTGGCTTCTGTCCACGATCAAGTAAACTGCTGTAGCAGCAGCTCTCCCAGCTTTTATTGGTATGGTATTAAACTGGGGGATATGGGGTGGAAATTAAACAAAATTATACTGCTTTTGGCAATATAAGTGGAAGATGATGCTTTGTTGACATTTGGGGAAGTTTTGTAGGGTTATCTTTGTGCTTTTTTAGCTTTGTATAGTACTGCAGCTTTGTATTTACTGCAGCTGTGTCCAGCAAGTTATTATAGCCGCTCTTACAAACAACCTTAAGAATAAGAGACTCAAGTTTAATGACCAGTTGATTTCCCTTTTATTAAATTAAATTTAGATAATTTTCTCATTTAATGCAGTAGAAATTTAGAGATAATTTTTTTAGCAGTTGTTAAATTTAATGCATGGGAATAATTACATCTGATTTCCCTAAAATTGGTTAAAATAGTATTCACCTATTAGTTGATCAATTTTGAATAACTGTACTGTAATTATGTGGACAAGACTCTCCTTAGTTGAGAACTGTGGTAGTAAACACTGGGTGAAAGTATGTTATTGGTTGAGATTGAGGTTGGGTATTCAGCAATTTTGCTGGATAATGGAGCTTTTGCTATGTCTCAAAATTAATTCAGAAACATAAAATTTAAGCTTTTATGCTAGCCTTAAGGTTTCTTTTTGATATAAATTTAAATGGAAGATTGCAGTGCTTCAATAAGCCATTTTATTAATTAGAAAAGGAAATATTTATACTCAGTGTTATATACTCAGGTTCATATCAGATGTCATGTTAAAAAGAGAACTTTTTAATATATATATATGTTTTTTAATATATTTTCTTGATTTCAAAGAGGAAAGGAGAGGAAGAGAAAGATAGTAACATCAATGATGAGAGAACCATTGATTGGCTGCCTCCTGCACGCCCCCTACTGGGGATTGAGCCCACACCCTAGCATTTGCTCTTGATCCGAATTGAACCAGGGGCCCTTCAGTCCGCAGGCTGGTACTCTATCCACTGAGCCAAACCGGCTAGGGCAAAAGAGAACTATTAAGATTTTTGGATAATAATAGGCTATTTGGAGTGGTTAACAATCAAGGTATTTTTAGATTGAGGATATTTTTCAGCAGTGTTAGAACTGGATGTATGTGCTTTAAATAGATCATGTTTACTCTTAGAAAGTACTAGTAGATTAGTGTCCTGGTCCCCGGAACATGCAGGAGGCAACCAATTGATTGTGTTTCTCTCACATCAATGTTTCTCTCTGTCTTTCCCTCTCTCTCCCACTCTCTCTCAAAAAAAAAAAAAAAAAATTGCTGGAAATATTCTCAGGTGAAGATTAACAACAACAAAAAGGAAGTAGATTAGATATCTTAGAAACTATTTTGAGGAAGGACAGATTTTTCTCCAGTGCAGAGTCTTGGGTTTTCTAACAAGTGGTCAAGCTGCTAAATAGGGAAGTCTTTATCCAAGTATAACATGAAGCCACATTGACTGATGGTCCTGTTTATATATATTCAACATTTACATTTTCTGATTGATGTAAATGGGATGATATATAGTTTATAGCTAACATTGAGCCTGGACTCTTTAAAAAAATTTTTTTGAAAATTTATTTATTGATTTTTTTAAGAGAGAGAGATGCATTTGTTATTCCACTTATTTATATAGCATTCATTGGTTGATTCTTATATGTGTCCTGACTGGAGATCGAACCTGCACCCCTGGTGCTTTAGGACATTGCTCCAACAAACTTAAGCCATACAGCCAGGGTGAGCCTCCACTCTTGATCCCCATAGCTGCCCCCTGTGGATACAAATTAATTAGAGATCAGGTTTCTCAATCTCAGCCCTGTTGATATTTGGAGTTGGACAGTTATGTGTGGAGAGCTGTTCTGTGTGCATTCTATGGTGTTTAGCAGCTCTCCTGGCCTCTACCCACTAGATGCCAGGAACATCTCCCCGGATTGATTGTGGCAACCATAAATGTCTCTCGACATTTGGAGGGCAAAATTGCCTCCAAGTGAGAACAGACTGATAGTTGCCAGGTGAGAGTGGAATTGGGTGATGAAAAAGTGAAGGGATTAAGAAGTACAGATTGGTAGTCACAAAACAGTCACAAGGGCAGCATAGGGAATGTAGTCAATAATATTGTGTTAACTATATGTGGTGACAGGCAGGTACTAGATTTATCAATCAGGGGGATTACTTCATAAGTTATATTAATGTCTAACCTCTAGACTGTGCACCTGAAATGAATATAATACTGAATGTTGGCTATAATTGAAAAATTTAAAAACAAGCTGTATATTCACTTCATAAAATTTTTTTTAAAAATGCCTCCAATAAGAGTCACTACTATAAATCTATCTGCCTTGTCTTAGAAGTGTAGTAGCAGTATTTATTAAATGACCATTGCAGAGTAGTGCTTGTGTTCACAGGGAGCCAAGGGAGAACAAAGGGGAAATAGAAGAATGAATCACTATGAAAGGTTCTTTAGGACTTAGGTATATGCCCTGATTGGGAATCGAACCTGCAATCTTGTGGTGTGTGGGACAACACTCCAACCAACTGAGCCACCCGGCCAAGGCATGTTCTTTCTATATTTAAATTCTATAACCTTCTTGATAATTGGCATTATATATTTAAAAAGAAACCTATTTCCTATCGTCCCTCAGGTACTTAAATTAGAGGATGGTAAACAGATTGATTTGGCTGGGGGAAATAGCAAAGAAGTGAAAATTCAGAGAGAAAAAATGTGGATAAGCGATTAAAGACATCAAAGGCTTAGGGGTTTAGATTTCTGTAAATAATCAAAGTGATTCCAAGAATATGGAGATTTAGAAGCCAAAATACTGGTAGGAGAATTAGGGTTATAAATGAAGTTCAAACTTTAGAAAGAAAGGCCTATATATATATATTATATATATATAATCAAATACAGGGTTTGGTAATAAATTGCAAAGTTGATACTCTAAATTTTTTTAAGTCTGCAGAACTGGACTTGATGGTCCTCAGGATAATAAAGAGAAAATCTGAAGAGTGACTTGTAGCAGAAGGTGTTTGGTTGTTTGTCATTAGCTACAAGAAGCACATTCTCAAACTTGTTGCAGAACATGACTAGTTTGTTTCAGTGGGTGATATTTTGTTTTTTGGTTGTTTTCCTGTTACTGAAGTTAAAATCTTTCTGTTAAGGTACAAATCTTCTCTTGAGCCTCTATTTTTCTCTATCGTTTTTTTCCTTTCACCATAACATGGGCCTGTGCAGGAAAGACAGCTGCTTATCAGAAGAGAAAGTATGTGACAAGAGAATCTGCATCCTTTAAAAAAAAAGGGGGGGGGGGAGGTCACATTTGTTTTGCAATTTTTATGGTTCATATATTCTTATGGAATAGGTCTGTAACATTAAGTCCCTAAAACTTGTTAGGTACTTCCTAAGTAATTCAGTCTCTATATAAGGTCTGTGAAGTCTTTTGCTCACAAGTTAAGATTCTTTTTTTTTTTTGCCATCTTAAAAATATTTATATTGAAGATTATAAAGCATGTATACTAACAAAATAGAAAAACGTAATCAACTTTAAATGGTATACCTTAACAAAATTTTTTTTAGCTTAAATGGCCAAAACATTCCTTTATATTCACATCATAAATTTTATTGGACCAAGAAGCTGACAAGTTTGTTCAAAAGTGATAATGGATAGCATTTTTGTTTTTGTATAGCTGTCTAGAGCTAATATTTTCATATACTATAAATGACATCTTCTCTTTTTCTTCCTAGCACAACATCCTCAAATAAATCCATCAGAATGACACCTTCTCAGGTTACCTTTGAAATAAGAGGAACTCTATTTCCAGGTATTGTAAATGAGCATTTTTCTTATCTGGTTTATCTTAAATATGGAGGTGTTGTTAGATGAAAATATCTTTATGGCTTGTCTTATACCAGAAATGTGCTTGGAGCATAGTAAACTCAGGGAAAAACAAACGAAAAACCTAATATTTTCCAAGAAAGCTGTGATTTTATTTAATTTTGCATATGACAAAGATAATTGGGCTATGATTTTTAAATAGCATAAAAATAAGGGAAATTTTGCTAGTGCAAGAAATTAGAAAAATACTTGGTTAAGATAACTTTGTTCCCAATTTATAAATTTTTATTTTTAGCTTTATTGTGTTTTTTTTTTTTTGCTGTCTACTTAAGCAGTGTGAAATAATTTTTATGTAAGATAGCATGTCAAAACAGTATTGTCCTGGGTTATATACCTCCTTGTTTAATATACTCTGGCTATACTAGGCAGTTCCTCAAATCTGTTGCATTTCTTTTCTAGAACCATTGGAATTTTCTCAAATTATTTCCTCTAGATCTGTGTTCTACCCCACTTAACTTTCTTTACTGTAATCTCCCATACTTTCAACTAGATTAAGGTCCCTATTTATCCTTTAAAAAAGAAAAATCAGGGAAGGTATAATAACCTAAGTTTATTATAAGAAATATGGTTACTTTAAAGGATATAAGTATTTCAAATATTTTGACATGAAATCTTTGTACTCAATCACCCTGTGCTTTACGCATGTATTTAGAACTCTGAAAACTCCTGAATGATTCTCATACCTATAATTTTAGTTAGGTTTTATAGCCCAAGCTTACAAAATGCTCATTCAGGTGGCTAAACCAACTGTAATTCTAGTTTTTCCAGAGTAGTGCCTAAAGCTAGAAACCGAGCTACTATCAGAATGTGAAGGAATTTGTCTTGACCTTTGTCATTTGGGTTCAGTTCATTATATTTTTCTTTATGAATTTTAATTATATTAGTTCAGAAAGTGTTGATATAAGTCAAAGACTTCCGTGTGTTTATATCCAGGAAGGTGGTAGACTTTTTAAAAAATATATTTTTTTAATGATTTCAGAGAGAAAGGGAGAGGGGGAGAGAGAGATACATCAGTGATGAGAGAATCATTGATCAGCTGCCTCCTGCATGCCCCCTACTGGGGACCGAACCCAAAATCTGGGCATGTGCCTTGACCAGGATTCAAACTGTGACCTCCTGGTTCATAGGTTGATGCACAACCACTGAGCCACACCCGCCTTGCAGAAGGTTTAGACTTTTGCTAAATAAATGAAATTTAGCAAATATAGATAACTATATGTTGGTTTGTCTATTGATGAGAAGTGTTCTGATGACAGTCATTTTTATAAGGTGTACTAGATTTTTCAATGTCTTTTTTTTTTTTAGGATATTTATTGTTGTTACATTGCTTCTGTCCCACTGATAATTTTCTTGATCTTTAACTTGCTAATAGCTACTGTTTGAATTTCAGGAAATATAAATTATTATTTCTTTAGAATACTTGTATGCATTTAGCGATTGCCCCTTTAAATTGGAAGCTCCCTAGAGGGCAGGAACTATGGTTTGATTAGTCAGTCATCTTGGTGCTTTTTATTGGCTCAATAAATATTTGAACAAATGAAGGAAAGTTCATTCCTCCACATCCCTCTTTTTCTCTGGTTTTGGGTATGTAAAGGTGGGTCAAGTTAATAATGCAGATGCTTGTGTAATACCTGAATCTAAACCCACGTTTCCAGTGGGGTCCTCCATCTTTGCTAAAGGGTACTCTGCATCCGGTCAAACTAATACAACTGACTGATCTTTAAAACTAAAAGTGGGAACTTTTCTATTTATGCCACTGTAACTGGTGTTCTGTTTCTTTAGGAGAAGTTTTTGCTATATGTGGAAGCTGTGATGCTTTGGGAAACTGGAATCCTCAAAATGCTGTGGCTCTCCTTCCAGAGAATGAGACAGATGAAAGGTAAGCATCGAAATGTCAGGTTACAGAATAATTGCAATGTTCAGATTATAAATTGGGGGCTAAGATGGCTTGGTATGTTTTTCTTCTTTTAATTTTAATTTTTATCAAAGTTATCACATGTATGTAGATGATAAAGAGTGAAATAGCTTTACAAAGTTTGCTGTGAGGAAAAAGTTCATGTTCCTCAGTTTCTACCTCTCAGATAACCATTTTCAACTCTTAGTTGGTTTTTCTGGTACCACCACATCTTGCCTTATAATAGACAAACATGTAAATTGACCATCCCTTCGCTATGCTCACCAGCCAATCAGGAGAGTAAGCAAATTAACCCAACAAAGATGGTGGTTAATTTGCATACATAGGCATGACACAGTGGAGCGAGATGGAAGGCTCTAGCTGGAACAGCGAAGGCCTGGGTCCTGGGTGCCGGAGGAAAACCGGTGCCGGCAGCCAGGGGAAGGGAAGGCCTATTGCATGAATCTCTTTGTGCAGTGGGCCTCTAGTTTCTAAATAATAGACTTATATTGCTATTTCTTTTCTTTTTTTAACTTTTAGGCAGTATCTTTTGGTTTCTCAGTACATATTCTTGATAAAAGATTTAATTTTTGCTCTAAAGTAACTTTTTTTCAGATGTGTATAGTATTAACTAAAAGTAACAGAATGGAGCACATACTTGTTTAGATAGTTAAGCTAAGGTAATGAAATGAGTTCGCTATGAACATTAAATACAGCACTAAACTTAGCATGGGTATATTGGGAAAGGTAGATCTGGGTGTCGGTTTCAGTTCTGCAGTTAACTGTGGTCTTGGGTACATCTAATATCTCTAGACCTTGGTTACCTCATTTACACAGTAAAGGGGTTAGGATAGAATCAGTGAATGTCAACAAAGGTGGTGCTTCTCTACTTGGGAATATCTGGAAATGTTATAGGTTGTATGTGTGTGTGTGTGGTGGGGGGAGGTGGTAAGGAGGGATGAGATTCTAAATAGTATATAAATATATGCAATACCCCTAGGGAGAAATACTAAATTTGGTGATTATGAAGCTCAAATTCTGTTTTCCTATGGAGCAGCACTACTAAAAGTGTGGCCTGTGGACCAGTGCTAGACAAAAACCTTTTTTTTTTTTTTTTTAAATCAGTGCACGATATGAGAAATATACACATTGAGAACAAGCATTTGGAAATGTTTATGGCAGTTTGACATGCTAGGGCATCCATGCATGTCACCATGGACACACCTTGTTGAATGGGTACTGTTGCAGGACAGATTAGGTAAAACAAACGAGCAAACAAAAACTGGTCCTTTGAAGCAGATGGCTTGAGAAGCACCGATGGCAAGGCAAAGGAAAATAAAACAATACCCTAATGTAAGCAAAGAAAAAGAAAAACAAAAAATACATAGAACATCCTTGTCACTATTTGTCATTTGTCATTTTCTCAACCACAAGTAAAGTTGGAATCACAGAGGAAAGGGATGTTGAGTCCTTTCAAGTGGCTATTTTCCCCGTGACTTTTCGGATCAGCCAGTTCTATGAAGTGAAATTTGTATTTTTCTGAACTGTTCCTAAAATACCCCTCTGCTCAGAACTTTTGAGCTTCCCTGTCACCTATCTTAAGTCCATTTCATCCAGCCTCATCAAAATGATGTGAATAACATGAGGCAACACCTAACAACTTAACTTGAGACCAGCCATTTTTCACATTGTTGGCATACACTGAAATATATTGATTCATATATGGCAGATAAACAGCTTCACAAGCAGAAAGGAAGTAGATAATACAAAATTATACAAGAAGATAATAGAGAATAGGTGGCCTTCGCATCGAAGTGTTCTGTACCCCTTTTTCACAGTCTCTTAAGCCTCTTCATACCTACAGGCTTGTGGTGACAAGAGCTTTGTTGGGTTTTTTTTCTACTTAGTTAATTTGAAGGTCTTGGTATTGTTTCCTAACAATGCAGAAAATATGACTCACTTTGGTTTTACTTGCTCTCCTTATAGATTTTGGGGAAGGATTTGAGGGCAATTCAAAATCATGCAGGTGCACTAAACCTTCTCACTTGCCTGGTTTATTTTTAATTTCATTAGGTTATGTTCATTCTTGCCCTCACTGAGCAGTGCCATTTCATTTTTAACTTCGCTACATTTGCTTAGAGAACTAGAGTGAAAAAGACTAATTGCTTTGCTTTCCATCTCTTTTCTTTATTTAGTGGTTGTTAACCAGAGGTGCACATTAAAATAACTTCTGAGGTCTTTTAAATTATACACCTGCCTAATCGTGACCAGTGTGGCTTAGTTGGTTGGCTATCGTCCTGTGCACCAAAAGGTTGCCAGATTGATTCCTGCTTAGGGCACATGTCTGGGTCTTGAGCTCTATCCCTGGTAGGGGGCATGCAGGAGGTAGCCTATCGATGTTTTACTCTCACATCTTCCTCTCTCTCTAAAAATCAATAAACTGTTCTTTAAAAAGATATATATATATATATATTCCTAGACCTTTTTCCTGGATTGAGAAATAATGCATTAGAGAAGGGCCCCAGTATATTTTTCAGAGCTTCTCACCAGTTATAGTGTGCACATCTGGGGCTAGTTTTATACACTCTAGCTTACTGTTTTATGGATGAAATAGTACTGGGAATTTGCTGCCTCCCCCCCCCTCCCTTATTTTTTTTTGGTAGCAGAGATGGGAAATAAACTTCACCTTATAGTTGGTAGAGTTTGCTTGGAGTCCTGTGTTGAAAATGATTCTGAGCCTATCAGGGAAAAGTAATAGGGGTACATATGCCAAGCATTTGCTCTCCTTGCTTTAGAGCTGTGATTCTCAACCAGTCATATATCCAGTGCCCTATGAAATTTTATCAAATTCCATATGATCAGGCTCTGCCCCAGACCTATGAAAGCAGAGTCTCCCAGGAAAAAGTCAGGGTATGTGTATTTTTTAACTACCATATTTTTCTTATAGCTGAAGCTAAGACTATGGGTGACAGCTGGCTGTGGATATTTCTTAGGAACTACAATTGAGTCAGAGTGAGGATACTGCCTAAAGCCTGTCTTGGCAGCCAGGTGGGAAGCAGTGCTAGCCATCTGGTGTCATGGAAGAACATTTGGAACTGCCGTTTATTTACTGAACTGTTCAGGTGGAATTAATGTTTGGGTAATGGTCTATGACAGTGGCTCTCAAACATAAGTGTTTGTCATCAGAGTTACCAGTTAAATGATAGATTGTGTCCCCCCCTCCCCCCCAGACTTTTTAATTTAACAGGTTTAGGTGTGGCCTAAGAATTTGCATTTTCTTTTCTTTTTTTAGAATTTGCATTTCTAATAAGCTCCTAGGTCAGTGATGGTGAACCTTTTGAGCTAGGTGTGTCAGCATTTTGGAAAACCCTAACTTAACTCTGGTGCCGTGTCACATAAAGAAATTTTTTGATATTTACAACCATAGTAAAACAAAGACATATTTTTGATATTTGTTTTATACTAGAGGCCCGGTACACAAAAATTTGTGCACTGGGGGTGGGGGTGGGGGAGGGGAAGAATCCCTCAGCCAGGCCTGTGCCCTCTCACAGTCTGGGACCCCTCGGGGGATGACCATCTGCTGGCTGAGGCCTGCTCCCCAGGGGATTGGGCCTAAGCTGGCAATCAGACATTCCTCGGGCAGCCCGGCAGCCATCAGGGGATGTCCACTTGCCAGCGGGGAACAGACCTAAGCTGCAGTCGGACATCCTTAGCGCTGCTGAGGAGGCATGAGAGGCTCCCACCACCACCGCTATGCTGGCAGCCATCAGCCTGGCTTGTGGCTGAGCAGAGCTCCCCCATGTGGGAGCTCACTGACCATCAGAGGGCAGCTCCTGCATTGAGCGTCTGCCCCCTGGTGGTCAGTGTGTGTCATAGTGACCAGTCATTCCCAGTCTTTCTGCTATTAGGGTCAGTTTGCATATTACCCTTTTACTATATAGGATAGAGGCCTGGTGCACGGGTGGGGGCTGGCTGGTTTGCCCTGAAGGGTGTCCCGGATCAGGGTGGGGGTCCTGCTTGGGTGCCTGGTCAGCCTGGATGAGGGGCTGATGGCTGTTTTCGGGCTGCCCGCACCCACTTCAGGGGGGGGGGTCCCCACTGGGGTGCCTGGCCATCCTTGATGAGGGGCTGATGGCTGTTTTCAGGCTGCCCGCTCCTGCTTCAGGGTGAGCGTCCCCACTGGGGTATCTGGCCAGCCTGGATGAGGGGCTGAGGGCTGTTTTCAGGCTGCCTGCACCCCCTTCAAGTTGGGCGTCCCCACTGGGGTGCCTGGCCAGCCTGGATGAGGGGCTGAGGTCTGTTTTCAGGCTGGCCACACCCTCTTTAGGGTGGGCGTCCCCACTGGGGTGCCTGGCCAGTCTGGATGAGGGGCTGAGGGCTGTTTTCAGGCAGGCCAAGCCTGCAACTGAAGCTTCCAGTCTCTCCTTTTTCTTTTTTTTTTAATTCTGGGACTTATTTACCTCCTGTAATTGAAACTTTGTTGCAGCTCCAACTCCGAGGCTGGCTGGCTGAAAGCAGATTTCTGGGGTTTGTTTAGCTTCTATAATTGAAACATAGTTGCATTTCGGAGCTGTTGCTTTCAGGCTCAGAGCTGGGCTGCGGCAGGCAGGCGGGGAACCTTGGCTTCCTCCATCGCAGGAGCAACCAAACCTCATGTTCGCTTCAGCTGTGTGACTGCTGGCCACCATCTTGGTTGGCAGTTAATTTGCATATCACCCTGATTAGCCAATGGGAAGCGTAGCAGAGGTATGGTTAATTACCATGTTTGTCTATTATTAGATAGGACTAGAGGCCTGGTACACAAAAATTTGTGCACTGGCGGGGGAGGGGTGTGTCCCTCAGCCCCACTTGTGCCCTCTCGCAGTCTGGGACCCCCCAGGAGATAACAACCTGCTGGCTTAGGCCCGCTCCTGGGTGGCAGAGGGCGGGCCCAATCCCTAGGTGCCTGCCCCGCAGCTCCTGGTCAGGCTCAGAGCAGGGCCGATTGGGGAGTTGGGGTGCCGCCCCCTGTCATGCACAGAGCAGGGCGGATCAGGAGGTTGCGATGCCACCCCCAGTCACGCTCAGGGTAGGGCCAATTGGGGGGTTGGAGCGCCTCCCCGTCACACTCAAGGCAGGGTCGATGGGGAGGTTGCGGTGCCACCCCCTGTCATGCACAGAGCAGGGTCCATCAGGGGGGTTGGGGCTCCATACCCTGTCACATACAGAGCAGGGCCGATCAGGGGGTTGGGGAGCTCCCCCCTGTCATGCACAGAGCAGGGCCGATCAGGGGGTTGGGGAGCTCCCCCCGTCACGCACAGAGCAGGGCCGATTGGGGAGTTGAGGTGCCGCCCCCTGTCATGCACAGAGCAGGGTGGATCGGGAGGTTGTGATGCCACCCTCAGTCACGCTCAGGGTAGTGCCAATTGGGGAGTTGGGGCGCCGCCCCCTGTCACATTCAAGGCAGGGTCGATGGGGAGGTTGGGGCGCTGCCCCCTGTCACCCACAGAGCAGGGCTGATCAGGGGGTTGGGGCACTGCCACACTCAGGGCAGGGCCGATGGGGAGGTTGCGGCTCCACCCCGTCACACACAGAGTGGGGCCCATGGGGGGGTAGGGGCGCCACATCCTGTCACAGAGCAGGGCCAATCAGGGGGTTGGGGAGCTCCCCCCATCAGGCACAGAGCAGGGCCAATCAGGGGGTTGGGGCGCCTTCCCCTGTCACGAACAGAGCAGGGCGAATAGGGAGGTTGTGGCCCCACCCCGTCACACACAGAGCCACAGGGCCATCAGGGGGTTTGGGTGCTGCCCCCTGTCACGCTGATCCCGGTGCCGGGAGGCCTTGCGGCTCCGCTGATCCCGGTGCTGGGAGGCATATTACCCTTTTACTATATAGGATAGAGGCCTGGTGCACGGGTAGGGGCCGGCTGGTTTGCCCTGAAGGGTGTCCTGGATCAGGGTGGGGGTCCCCACTGGGGTGCCTGGCTAGCCTGGGTGAGGGGATGAGGGCCGTTTTCAGGCTGGCGGGTGACTGAAGCTCCCAACCTCTCCTTTTTTCCTTTTTTTTTTTTTATTCTTGGATTTATTTACTTCTACGGCTTTCACTGGAGCTGAGTGCCGGCTTTAGCTCAGACCTTGGCTGCTGAAAGCAGGTTTCTGGACTTTGTTTACCTTCTGTATTTGAAACTTTGTTGCGACTCCAGCTCTGAGATCCCGGCTGACTGAAAGCAGGTTTCTGGGGTTTTGTTTAGCTTCTATATTTGTAACAATGTTTCTTAGCAGCTCAGAGCCCAGCAGGCAGGCGGGGAACCTTGGCTTCCTCCATCACTGGAGCAAGCAAGCCTCCCTGTTCGCGTCAGTTGCCCGGCTGCCGGCCACCATCTTGGTTGGCAGTTAATTTGCATATCGTCCTGATTAACCAATGGGAAGGGTAATGAAGTTACAGCTAATTACCATGTTTCTCTTTTATTAGATAGGATATTTAAATGCCATTTAACAAAGAAAAATCAACCAAAAAAATGAGTTCGCGTGTCATAGGTTCGCCATCATTGTCCTAGGTGATACTGACCATCCTTGGAGCCACACTTTGGATACTGCTGGTCTGTGGTTTGAAGCTAATAACCACTTCTAATCATGCATTGTAGTGAATTTTAGAATAGCATAGTTCAAAGGAGGACATTGGGTTGAAACAAGTAAGATACAAATACTGATTGCTTGGCTAGGAGAATAGCCAGAGTCTGGGCAGGACAGTTAGAACAAGGGACAATTGGGAACATGAGTTGCTGGCCTTGGCCCCAAAGCCTCTTAGCAGCTATGTAACATCTCTAGCCCGGAAAGCCTGACTCTAGTTTCCACCTCTGCACTACTTGCTTTTTCTGTTTAATACTTCTCCTGGCTCTTTGTATGGCTGGTTTCTTTCCATCATTTAGGTCTCAGCTAAGACAGTTCTTCCTCATTGAGGCCTCCCATCCAAAAGCCTCTTCCAGCACTTCCTGTCACATCAGGAAGTTCAAATAGCTCTTACAGTGTATGTTGCCTGGTTGTTTACCCACACAAGGAAGCAATCTTCTTGAAAATGGGGCTCTTTCTGCCTCATTCATCAATGTGTTTCCAGTGCTTGGTACAGATTAGACCTGGAGTAAATTTTGTGTAGGAATAAATAAGTGGTTTGGGTCACAGACCTTATTTGAGGGGTTTTATGAATTATGAAATTTTTATGCATTTTAGTTTGGTATTGATGTAGCTGTTTTAATTTTTTTTTTCCTTCACAGCATGTTTTGGAAAGCAACCATTATACTCAGTAGAGGAGAATCAGTTCAGTATCGCTACTTCAAAGGGTGCTTTTTAGAACCAAAGGTATGTTTTCTTCACCTAGTTTCCAGTTTCTTTAGCAGACTTCTTTCAAAAGCAACTAATTTAAGTTTGGAAACATTAAAAGTAAAGCGAGTTTGTATTGATCAAATAAAGAAAATAGAACTCTAGATTAATAACATTTTAGTACAAAAAGCAAGGAAGTAGCCACTTCAGAGACAGCTGATGTCTGTAATGGAATTTTTAAAAGACTAATAGTAAGTATGTTGTAGTATTGTTATCATGATATAGGTTTTAATGATAAATAAATATTTTTGATAGGTAGGTATGCATTTTCTGTAACTTTTGTAAACTAATTAGAAACCAGTTACATGGTTTTTCTTTTTGTTTTGTTTTTTAATCGTGAAGTGGTATAAGTACATTTAGAGGAGTATATAGCCAGCTTTTAGTGAATAATTATTTTTAAAAATTATTTCACAGCAGCTGTCTCTTAGTGGCTGCATTGTTTAACTGCTTTAAAAACTGAAGTAATTTCTCTTAGATTTTTTCAACAATGGTGTTGACAGACCAGGATCTTTCCTGAATGCCTTTGGAGTCTATTGAATATAAATCTGCTTGCTCAAAATGATTTATTATTTTGGGAGTGCTTTTGTATTTAGAAAAAAAGTTGATTCTTTTCCTCTTTTTAAAAGATACTCATTTGCTGAAAGGATTCTTTTCCTTCAGAGTTTTACCTTTGAGCACACTTGGGCTGCATGTGAACAAGGGCTTAGGCAGGAGCCTAGGACACAAAAAATGGATTAGAACTTTTAAGAAAATTTCTTCCCCTTTAGGGTCATTGAATACTTGTAACATATGAAAAATGCAAGCAGCCACTGTTACCTCATTCTCTTAGCCACCATTATAAAAAAAGAAAACTGACAAACCCACTTCTGCTGTCTTTTGCACCTATTACGTTATTACGTTTATTCCAAGAATATATTGTAAATACTCAGTAATTAAACTTAAATTACATTATGGTTAATCATTTTGTTGGCTTATCTTGACAATGGTCTCACTTTATGACTTAAAAAAAGAACATTTCTTAGTATAGGGATTATGCATCATGGCATAATTCTTCAGTACATATTGAACAATTATGCACAGACACATAGATCCACAGCACTCATGACGTTGAAAGCTTATTTGTGGATCCTGGTATGTGAAATTTGTAACGTGAAATCAACTAAATTTTACTTAAAGGGGCATTTGGACCAGAAAAATCATAATGAATCTTTTGGGCATAGTTTTCTAAAGTAAGACTGTTGTCAACACAGGTTGAAATAAGCCAATCTACAGTATTTCCCCTCTTCATTGAAAATGTAACCAAAAGCAGCAAATCAGTCCAAAATGCCTTTGAAAAAATTGGCAAGAAGTCTGCTTACAGTAAGAAACAAGTTTTTCCCCTTGTAATACTTGCAAAAGTTTACAGTATGTGTTGGTGAGTGTGTTTCTTTAAGTAGGTGCTCTGTATCGTGTACACATGTACCGTGTGATGCAGGGGCTGCCATGGTAAGTATGTTTTTCATGGAATAGAGTAAATACCTACATAAAATCCCATGCATATGGCTAGAGGGTTTTTCCCCCCCATACGCAAACTTAAAGGGACACTTTTTTTGTAAGTTGGTGGCGCTTTTTAAATGAAACTTACTTTTTAGTAAAAGTAATTATGAAACTGTCGCAATTGTGCATTGTCAAATGATAAAACTAATGTGCAAGGAATCTTAAAATCATGCAATGATGTAAATTATTGGAATATATATGTTATAAATATAAAGAATAATAGGAAACCAAAGTAATTATGAAAGCACTAAAAAGCTGAAATGGGTAATAAGTTTAATTTTACTGGTCAAAGTTTTAGAAGGTGATCTAAAGCAGTTGTAGAGCCTGAGCTAAAAACCTTGTGATCTTGTCACTTGACCTTTAGACTTTAGCTTCCTCATCTTTTAAATGAAGGGTTTGAACTATAAATTTCTTAGGTCCATAGCTTCTATTTTATTGTAAATAATGTAAAATTTTACCATTCATATTCTCTTATATTTTGCTCCTTCTGGCATATTCCTTTTAGTTTAGAAGTTGAGTCTGGCAGTCCTTTTTCTCTTAATTTTTCATAGCTACGTGTTCTCTTATACTTTGTAGATTAGAATAAGGTTAATATGTTGAATTTTAAGATAATTTTATTGGTGACAAATCAAAATACTAAGTTATATAAACATAGAAAGCAAAGGTAGTAGATATTCCTGGAATGAAAACATTGGTATGAGCCTGCATAGTCCATTAATTTCACATTCTCACCAAAGTAATTTTTGAGTTAACATGCAATTTAAACATTTCTTTAATCCATGTCCACCCCTTCTTTCTTGTGGCTAGAATTAGGGTAGTTACCTCATACAGAAGTGTTAGCCAATTTTTAATTATATTGTCTTTGAACTGCTTCCTTCATCTCAGTGTACGTAGCTCTTCATTTTGCAGTAACTTTCTGGTTCCAATTTTTAACATTCACTTATAATTAGATTCATTCTTTTATTTTATTCTTAATTTCTCTTGATTTTCATTTAGAACAGCCCAGGGTTATTTTGGCTTCTTTTTACAATGGTTTCTTTTTTTATTATTAAATATATTTTTATTGATTTTTAAAATATATATATTTTTATTGATTTAACAGTCATCCAGAGGCAGAGAGAAACATCAATGATGAGAGAGAATCATTGATCGGCTGCCTCCTGTACGCCCCCCCACTGGGGATCGAGCCCACAACCTGGGCATGTGCCCTTGACCAGAATCAAACCTGGGACCCTTCACTCTGCAGGCTGATACTCTATCCACTGAGTCAAAACGATCAGGGCTGTTTTTATTGATTTTTTATTTATTTTTATTTTTTTAGAGAGAGGAAGGGAGAAGGATAGAGAACTAGAAAAACATCAATGATCGGCTACCTCCTGCACACCCCCTATAGGGGATCGAGCCTGCAGCCCTGGGCATGGGTCAACCCCTGGCATGGGTCAGTGCTCAACCAGCGCTACACTGGCTGGGCTGTTTTGTAGTTTTAAGTGTATATACCTTACACATTTGAATTAAATATATTCCTAAATATTTTTATTTTATTTTTTGATGCTATTGTAAATGGATGGTGTTCTTTTAATTTCAATTTAACTATTTATTGCCAGTGGTTTATTAAATATAATGAAATTCTAAATGCTAAATACCCTCAGCTATTAACTTCATATTTGAACCATCGTATAGAGATATCTATCCACCTACCTTTGCTGTACTCCTTCCTAGGTGACCATTTTCCTTAATGGTCTTATTAAAAATAGTGATGCTTAAGTAACTATGGTCTGGCCTCAGACAGCATAGATAAAAATTCTTCAGAGATCCTTTTACATGCACATTTTCCCCAAAATAGTGGAAGAAAACAATTAGTAAAATATTAAAAGTGCACATTTACATTTTTCATGATAGTTAGAAGCAGTGCTATTACATAAGTATTTGATAATTTGTTTGGTGGTTTGTTAAAACAAAAATTTCAGTCTACATATTGGATAATATTTTAAATTTCTCTCAGTGCTTGATGTAGCTGAGTGATGTCAATAATTGTTTGAGAAGCAATCAGTAAGACACGTGTGTATGTGGAAACATAGTTTTGGGGTGTCTTTTTTCTTGTTTTGTTTTATTGTTTTGTGTGGTTTTTTTGTTGTCCTTGTTAGTATGCATGCTTGAAAACATTCTAGCAATCATCTGATTTAATATATACTAAATTGTAAAATAACTCCACCAGTAACTGCTAATGGAATACTGTCCTGGACTGATACTGTTTCTTTTTTTCTCCAAAGATACACCTTCCACTTAACTCCAAAATGCTTAAAATTGTGACAGCCTTTTACAGAATGGAGCTGTTCTTTTCTTTTATTTATTATATTTTTATTGATTTCAGAGAGGAAGGGAGAGCTGTTCTTTTTTTCTAAGATCTTGATTGTTTTTCATGGAATAGAGCCTTAAAAAGGATTGCATGTTTTGGAGTCACTATTGAGATTTTTAATATGTCAATGCTCAGGTTTTTAAAAAAAATTTAAAAGGACTTCAGTAAGCTAAAATTTAAGATGACCTTCTAAAGTTTAATAAATTAGTTATAACAATTTTGGAAATTCATGGTATTTTAAAACTTGGGTGTGTTTTTTTTCCTAATATTACAACACTTTGTGTACCAAACAACACAGATTTGTAGTGTGAATGCTAGTAGACACAATTGTAAGTCATCTGTTGAATTGGCCTTTTGGATTACTCAAATACTCCATTCTGTTCAAGCCCAAATTGTTGTATGCTGTAACTAAAACATATGAGGATGGAGTTAATTAAAATTACTACTAAAACATATACCCTATCAAATACTTAATCAACAGGGCTATTCTTATGTGCATGGTAAAGTTCCCCTGACAAATCAATTAAAACAAAAACGTCTTTTTTTCCCTCTACCCACTTTATTTTTATTTTTATGGATTTCAGAGAGGAAGGGAAAGGGAGAGAGAGAAACATCAATGATGAGAGAGAATCATTGGTCAGCTGCATCCTGCATGCCCCAAACTGGGGTTTGAGCCTGCAACCTGGGCATGTGCCCTTGACCGGAATCGAACCCAGGACCTTTCAGTCCTCAGGCCAATGCTCTCCACTGAGCCAAACCAGCTAGGGCTCCTCTACCCACTTTTTAATCCTTGCTGAGACTTAATATATTCATGGCATCCTTTAAGTTACCTTTGATTAGTAACTTCTATAAGAATGTAAACCCATACCCTCTTTTAGTGAAGAAGATTTTTTTTTCCTTTGGGTAGGGTATGTTGGAAACATGGGAAGAATAGGTTAGTTTTTTCTGGCTGCTTATTATTGCTAAGAAACATGATTCCTATTTTTAATGTATGCAATTTGCATCTCTTGAAGATTAGAAAGTTTGATGTTTAAAAAAACTGGAACACTGTAACAGGAAAAAGTTATAGTAAAAAAAAATCTAGGAAATGTAGGATTAAATGCATCTCCTTTTAGTTTTTAAGAAAGTTAAATTCGTACTTTAAGATGAGCAGTTTTCACATTTACCCTTTTAAAAGCATCTACCCAGTCTACCAATTCATAAGTAAACTTTATAACAAGAAGGTATTTGTCAAGAGAAAATGAGCATTTTTCGTGTTATCCTAGGATAAGTGATTTGAATGAGGATCTAGTGCTATTTTAGTTTTCAAATTCCAAAAGTTTGCAAGTTTAAAAAAGATTTTTAAACTTTATTTTTTAAAAATATTTTTTGTTTATTTTATTTATTTTTTATTATTATTTAAAAAATATTTTTATTGATTTCAGAGAGGAAGGGAGAGGAAGAGATAGAAACATCAATGATGAGAGATGATCATTGGTTGGCTGCTTCCTGCACGCCCACTACTGGGGATTGAACCTGCAACCCTGGCATGTGCCCTTGACCAGAATCAAACCTGGGAGTATTCAGTCTGCAAGCCGATGCTCTATCCACTGAGCCAAACAGGCTAGGGCAAAAATACATTTTTATTGATTTCGGAGAGGGAGAGCGAAACATCAAAGATGAGAGAGAATCATTGATTGACTGCCTCCTGCACACCACCTACTGGGAATCGAGTTTGCATCCTTGGCATGTGCCCTAACTGGGAATCAAACAGTGACTTCCTGGTTCATGGGTCAATGCTCAACTAATGAGCCATACCAGCCAGGCTCTCTGGTTATTTTAAGTGGCAGAATTATCTCTTGTGTTTAATTACCTAATGTGCCTAATCTGTTACTTATTTGTTATCACTTGGCGACTTTTAAAAATATCAATATTGAAATCCTATAACGTGTTATAGGAGAGTATTTAATGCCATCTAAAGATGTATAATATAGAGAGAGAAGCTTACATGTTTTAGGCTTTTTAATAGTATGTTTAGATATGCCTAGAAAAGGGCTTAAGGATTATGTATGAAAATGTTGATAATAATTAACCCTAAGTAGTGTGATAATGGGTGACTTTTTTTTTTCCCTTTTTCCATCCCTGTATTTTACTACATTTTTTCAGAAGACATGAAGGTTACAGTCAAAATTTGCTTTTAAAATACGTATTTAAGGGTTTCATTTTGACACATAAGTTTAATTAGTCATTTAAAAAGTAATTAAAGGATAATTAGGAAGCATTTAATACTTCAGTCTCTTATATGTCGGAAATCTTTGTTGGTAGGTTCATTCTTGTTTTAAAAATCGTGTAGATGTTATTGACATAAAGTTTTATTTTCTTAGGAAAAGAACTTGATAATAGGGAACAATATTAGGAGTTATCACACTATGAATTTAGAAACTCAAAGGCATAAAAAAGTAAAACTGGATGTTAGTTTCACTTTTATCAAATTTGTTCTTCAAATTTACCCGTGTGTGTCTCCTTTCTTTTAGGGTTTCTGTGATAGGAGAAATCTGATGTTCTTCCTGTTATCTACTTACTATTCTTAAATGTATATAGTAAAGAACTGTATTATGTCCTCATATTTCTTGAGTAACTTGTGATAGTTGATCTTGAAGTACTTGTTTCTACTATTCCTATGGTCATTAGAGTTTAGGCTTTATCCAAACACCTCAAGAGATACTTAAGATGAGATACTTTACCCAGTAACACACCCCATTGACTGGCTGATATACCAAACATAAACTATATTTATGGTTAACTTTAACTTAGAACAGAATATCAGTTAAAAATTAAAATTTCTTTGAAAAAAATCGAGTATTGTAGGCAGATTTAAGAATGAGTTTTATGTACCAGTTCATCCCATTTTTCTTTGTTTACTCTCTCATCCCCATTTTCTTCCAGCACTCATCATGATTTGTGACCTAGTACATTCCTGATTAGGGGCGTATAATATTGATAATTAACAGGATGAATCTTTTGGTTTCATATGTAGTATTAATTTAGGCCACAAACATCTAATGGAGTCATGGGTAGAATATAAGATATAAGAAATTATTGCAGACATTTAACTTTTAAATTGCAGACTATCGGTGGTCCATGTCAAGTCATAGTTCACAAGTGGGAGACTCATCTACAACCACGATCAATAACCCCTTTAGGTATGGGCATTAACTGCATCTGTTTGAGGCATATGCATAAGTTACTAATATGCTGCACAATGGCTTAGTGGGATTTAATAAATTTTTATTCTGAAGTTTAAGGTCAATTTTCACTTAGCATATCATGAATCTTACTTTCAAAACTAAATAGTTCTTAATTGCCTTTCTCTATAAACTATTAGAAATGCTTAATTATTTTTATTTTGAAGGGTTAGATTAATTTATTGTAGACTTTTTATTTGGAGTAGTGACAAAGTTTACAAAGTAACATTCTTCTTTGCTGAGCATCCATGGCTTTATTGATTACTTGCTCAGATAAATTTAGAGAATTTTCTTTTTCTTTAAGAGAAAGAGGAAAGGAGAGAGAGAAGGAAAGAGAGAAATTGATTTATTGTTCCACTTATTTATGCATTCATTGGTTGATTCTTGTACCTGCCCTGACTAGGGATATCAAGATGATGCTCTAACCAACTGAGCTACCCAGCCAGGGCAAAAACAAAGATTCTTACATTTTTAACTTTAGTGAGAATAGAGCAAGTTATTCTATTTATTCTGTGTTTTTTTTTAAATAGTAAATACTTGAATAAATTTGTATGAATAAATTAAAATTTCTCGGTTGTAGCAGACATATTTTCCTCCTTATTTACTTAAGTACCTTGCTGGCTATGTTAAAATGGATATTCAGATCAATTTATAAAAAACATTATTCCGTGTTCTTATTATGCCTAAAAAGGCATTTCTCTTCATACAAGTATTTTTTTAATTTCCTTTTCCATACTAAGATTAAGACTTGAAGTTTATTTCATATACATTAAATTATCGATTCATCTTTAAATTGACTCATTGCTGAGAAATGCATCTTTCAGTGTCTAAGGAAAATTAGAATGTAAAGATAATAATTGGCTTTCTAGTTACCAGCTTAGAAAGTAGTGAGAGATTCTGCTTTACCCTACAGTAGACAGGTTTTGTTTAAACAGCTATCTCATTCCATCCTCTTTATTGAATTTCCTTTTTATATGTTTTAATACATTTTTGATATTGTATTTAGGATTTTTCTGATAGCATATTTCAGAATTATAATAGTTCTATACTGAGGTTGGAAATTATTAGGTATGAGTAGTTTAAAATAATTTGCATTTTGAAGCATCTTGCAGTTAAATATATTTTATTATTGTGAAAAGTGGGATGATTATGTTTCTGATCTTTTAAAAAGAAATTTATATCTGAAAAATAGACTCTCTAATCTTAAGAGCTCCATGAAATCTGTCAGAGAATCTTCCTTGGGAACTATCACATTAATTTTGACAAATATTTCAGACCTGTATGTAAAGTAAACAGGAAAGGAAAGAGCAGGGAATTAGTATGTTATTCAGAAGGTGGGGCTTAGTAGCTTATCTATGTAGTTGAAATTTCTGTTAGAAGGGCATGTGCTAGAACTTACTCTTTTGATAGTTCCTCACAGCTCTGAGTATACAGGTAAGTTTACGCTGTTTGTAAAGCTTTTAGTTGGCTATTGAGAATAGTTGAGATTTGAGGAGAATTACATTTTAGATTAGTTCAGAAAATGCATTACATAAGAATAAGCATTTTAATTGTGCCAAGACCTTTGGTTTGAAAAATGAACCAGGAGATACTGTTGTCCAGCAATATGTCAGGCTCACAAATTGTGGGTGAAGTTTGTCCCAGTGCCTCTAGAGCACCATCTGAGGAGTCCTCTTTCTCTTCCTTGTAACGTCTGAATAATCACTGAGTATGTAAGAACTGATTGTTTGATAGCCTTCTTAAAAGGGAATTCTTTATTGAGGGCTACAATAAATATGCTTATTCACTTTGGGCTGCTTTAAAATTTTAGATTTCATATTTTTAAAAATGCTTAAGGTGGGTAATCTCAGTTGTCCGTATACATTGTGAATTTTAACTAGGTTTTCTATTTTCCTTCAATTCTAGAAAGTGAAATTATTATTGACGATGGACAATTTGGAATCCACAGTAAGTGAGACTGAGCTTTAAAAATTTTTACTGATATGGTTGAGATGTTACATAACATTCATTAGAAACAGATATAGGGAAATATGACAGAGTATGATATTGGAAATAGAGGCTAAATCTAAGAAACAAATGCCATTCTCTTAAATAATAGTTTCCACTACAGGTGGGGCAAAAGATTTACAGATGTGAGTACGCAAAACACAGAGTTTATTATTAAATTATTACTAGAGGCCCAGTGCGTGAAATTCATGCATGGGAGGGGGGTCCCTTGGGGGATGTCTGACTGCCTCTGGAAATCCAGGACCACTGGTGCCTAACTGCTTGCCTGCTTGCCTGCCTGATCACTCATAACTGCTCCCCTACTGGCCTAATTGCCCCTAACTGCTCCCCTGCTGGCCTGATCACCCCTAACCACCTCTGCCTCACCTTGCACCCGGGACCCAGGATTCCCTCCTCCGGCTGGTCACAGGCACCCAGGACCCAGCCAGCTTCACCCAGGTGGGCTGCAGCCACAGGGGACCGTGGGCAGGCGGCTTTGTCCGGGCTGCAGCTGAAGGTGCCCGGGACTGCGGAGAGGGTGGCTTATCCCTCTCCCAGGCCACAGCCTGGCTGGTCCCCATTCCTCTCTCACAAGCTCATTTGTGCCTGGCTGGTCCCCATTCCTCTCTTGCGAGCTCATTTGTGCCTTGCTGGTCCCCATTCCTTTCTCCCCAGTGTTAAGTGTCTGAGCTGTGATGGCGTGAGGGCGTGGTGACCATTTGCATATTAGCTCTTCATTCTATAGGATTTATTAACTAGTGTCCTGGTGCACAGATTCGTGCACATTGAAAGGAAATTAATTAGGTAGGGGTAGGGGCAGGAAGCCAGAAGCCAGAAGCCAGAGCTGACATGGCGTGATCTGGCAGCACTGTGGCCACCATAGAGCGAGTCAGGGAGCAGGGTCATTGTGTCGGGCTCTGGAGTCAGTGGGGCTGCTAAAACAGCCGTTCGCCTGAAAATGCAGGAAGAATTAAGTGCCCAAGTGGAAAGGCATAAGGAGAAACTATGACAGCTTGAGGAAGAGAAAAGGAGAAGGAAGATTGAAATGTGGGGCTGCATGCAAGAGGGGACATGCTACAGAGGCCATGCCAGGAAGAAGACAGCCCAGGGGCTTCTACTTCATCCAGCCTCCCCACAAACAGCAAGCAAGAGACATGGGTGGTTCTAACCCTTTGTCTGGGGGAGAAGAGGGAGCCTGCGCCTGGAGACCTGGACATAGAGGGCCGTTGTCTGGTAGATGAGGCTAAGAAGCCTTGCCCAGTGTCACTCGCACTTGCCTCTCCAGGGGACCCGGTCAGGGCCAGGCCCAGGGACAGTAGCACTGAAAGGCAGTAGAGTAGGCCTCAGTCCCACAGCAGCCACGAACCCGCCTCCCAGCTTCAGAGGTCAGCTCTATGAGGAGAAGGAGCCTGGGGTGAGGAGGCGACGATCACAGCCCGGGTTCCTGCCCATCGGCCCAGGGTTTGCAGCGGGAACAGCTGCTCATCCCAGTCAGCTGAGCAGCACTCCCACTGGGGTAGTACACTGACCACGAGAGGGCAGTTCCTGCGTTGAGCATCTGACCCCTGGTGGTCAGGGCACGTTATAGTGACTGGTCGACCAGTCGTTCTGGTCGTTCCGCTGTTCAGTCACTGGGCTTTTATTATATAGGATTATTGTATTTTTTATGCAAACTATAAACCTGTTTTTGCTCCACCATGTATAATTCTTTTTTAAAAATATATTTTTATTGATTTCAGAGTAAGGGAGAATTAGAAACATCAATGATGAGAGAAAACCATTGATTGGCTGCCTCTTCATACCCCCCCCCCCCCCCCCCCCCCACTGGGGATCAAGTGAAACCATGAACTCCTAGTTCATAGATTGATGCTCAACTACTGAGCACAGTGGCTGGGCCCCTGTATAATTCTTATGCTTTAAGTTTTTTGACAGGTGATTTCAGTTATATGAGTTAGTAATAACATCACTTTTTAACACTACAGACAGTCCTCGGGATACTTCAGACTCGATGTATGTTGTTTCGTGGTTACGTCACCATCTCCCATTTATTTATTAAAAAAAAAAATAGTTCCATTTTGACGCATGTACATATGTGCTTTATGTTTTTTATTATTTATTTGCCACAAGTAAAGGTCAGGAATTGTTATCTTTCTTTTAAATTTTTTTTTACTGTTTCACTTCATTACTGCTGTGTATGTGCTCCATGTAAGTGATGTAGGTGACTATGTAGGTGAATTCTGACTTACGGCAAAAATCGCGTTACATAGGGCCGTAGGAACAGATCTCCGGCGTAACCCCAGGACCTGCTGTATTATGTTTGAAAATGATATTAGCAGTTCTAACATTTAAGATATGAAATGTTACTCTTAAGCTAATTTGTGCACTATGTATGTTTATATGTGCATTTATGGTAAAATCCAGATTAAGCAGAATATTCTAGTAATTCTGACTTAGTCTTTAACATTTAATTAGCACATTAGAAATCCTTTTACCTCTGAATATGTTGAAAGTGTTATTCATTTGTATACTTCTGCTTCAGTAAACACTTTGAGAATTCAAGTTTTCAGGGACTTGAATTCTTATAATGTGTCAGCATTATGCTAAATTGCATTTTTATTTTATTATTTTTTCCTTAAATGCAGTTGATTGCGTTTTCGTTTTTAAATACTTTACTGTGTAAAGGAGTGGGCAGAATGTGTGCTTTTGCTGACTGAACCAGAGATAAATTGCTGATAACCAGTTGCTTTCCTATTCAGAACAGGAAGGAACAGGTTTGAATGTTTTGGTTGTGGTTTAATAGGGACATGTGTTTATACACTTCAGAAATGTACATGCTTTGGCAGTGTTTGGATAGGAATTTGGATTTTATTTGAGGTTATTTGTGTTATATCATCAGGTAGTCTAAAATACTTGAATAGCTTTTGTGTTTTATAGTCTTGTCCTCTTTATTTAGAAAAGATGGTATTTATGTTACATGTTTTGGAGAGCTTTTTTAAATATATATATTTTTATTGATTTCAGAGAGGAAGGGAGAGGGAGAGAGAGATAGAAACATCAATGATGAGAGAGAATCATTGATCGGCTCCCTCTTGCACACCCCCCACTGAGTATAGAGCCCACAACCGGGCATGTGCCCTTGATCGCAATCTAACCTGGGACCTTTCAGTCCACAGGCTGACACTCTATCCACTGAGCCAAACCGGCTAAGGCAAGAGCTTTCTTTATATAGGAACTAGGGGCCCAGTGCATGAAATTCGTGCACTGGGGCGGGGGGTATCCCTCCGCCCAGCCTGCCCCCTCTCACATACTGGGAGCCCTCAGGGGATGTCCTAGGGATGGCTTAGGCCCACTCCCTGCTCCCCTTGGGGATAGGGCCTAAGCCACAGTCTGGCCTCCCTTTGTGGGAGGCAACCGGGCTGATCAGGGGTAGGCACCAGCCCCATCACCCCGCTGCTGCAGCCACTGCCAGTCACCAAGGTTTTTTCATCAACACGGACTCCAGTCTCTTCACCATAAAAAAATGACAACTTTCTTTAGGCATTTTCAAGATGTGTCTTTCATATAATAATAATTTCTTTATTATTTTTTTTATCCTCACCTGAGGATATGTTTCCATTGACTTTTAGAGAATGTGTAAGAGAAAGGGAAAGACAGAGAGAAACATCAAAGTGAGAGGAACACTTTGATTGGTTGCCTCCTGCATGAGCCCTGACTTGGGCCCTGGCCAGGGAGGAGCCTGCAACCTAGGTACATGCCCTTGGTCAGAACTGAATTCAGACCCTGCCATCGGCAGGCTAAGGCATTATCCACTGAGCCAAACCGGCTAGGGCAGGATATGACATTTCTTAGCCCTCCAGCAGCTGACCTTCGTTTTTTTCGCCAGGAGTTGTGAAAAACCCTAGATCACCTTTTTGGATTCTTATTACCCAAGTTACTAAGAATATTACCAGTGGCATACAGGGAGCTTAGCCAATGAGCGGTCAGAAAAGGTGTTTCCTCTGGAGTTCACACCAATCGCCAGCTTGGCCCCCCGGCCCAGGCCTGACGCCTCTGGCCCAGGCTGCAGGCCTGGGCAGGGAACCCCCATCTCCCCTCAGTCACTGGCTCCACCCTTGCCCAGGCCTGACACCTTGGCCGGAGGCGTCGACCCCCATCACCCTCCGATCGCTGGATCAGCCCCTTGTCCAGGCCTGACGCCTCCACCAGAGGTGTCAGGTCTGGGCAAGGGACCCCCATATCCCTCCCATAGCTGGCTCCGCCCTCACCGAGGCCTGATGCCTCGGCTAGAGGCGTCGACCCCCATCACCCTTCAATCACTGGATTGGCCCCTCGCCCAGGCCTGATGCATCGGCCAGAGGCGTCAGCCTGGGCAGGGGACCCCCAGACCCCTCCGATTGCCAACTCTGCCCCCTGCCCAGGCCTGACACCTCTGGCCTAGGCGTCAGGCCTGGGCAGGGGACCCCTATCTCCCCCTGATGACCGGCTCTGCCCTCGCCCAGGCCTGACGCCTCGGCCAGAAGCGTTGACCCCCATCACCCTCCGATTGCCAGCTCATTCCCCCGCCCAGGCCTGACGCCTCTGGCCCAGGCTTCAGGCCTGGGCAGGGGACCCCCATCTACCCCCCGATCACCAGCTTCTGGGGTCGCACAAGGGAGCCTGGATGGTGGCTCTCACACTGGTGGCTCCGCTGTCCTGTCCTGCCTGCAGTATGCAAATTACCCGCCATCTTTGCTGGCAGTTAATTTGTATATCGTGCTAATTAGTCAATGGGAGTTACGGTCAATTACTATGTTTGTCTGTTATTAGATAGGATAGTTTTCTCTTTTTTTTCAGCTGTTGTGTGTTACTATATATGGTTATAACTGCATGTAAATTTTTATTGTTGTTCTAAATTCAGTTTTAGCCAGTTAACAGCCACGCATCCAAAACGGAAACCATCCCCATGTGCCACAATATTTTGAATTTAATTTAAAAAAATCAATTTGCAATGAATATTATAAAAATAAATATATTACAATTTGGGTGTTCTTGAATATTTTCAACTAAAAATTCTCACAAAAAATTATTTTAAAGTTGGTCAGGACTGCCACTTAGGGAAAACATTTTTTTTTTAATAGATGTGTGTGGTGTGTGAGGAAGGTCTGTACTTGCATCTACAGATGTTTATTGTGTACAGTGGGCTATTAGCTTTTAGGATGCAAAGTCATTTCTCCAACTTTGTCTATTCCTGGAAATAGTTTAAAATTAAGAAATAATGGTGGTTTCTTTTTATTTTTTTATTTCTACCCAAATATTTCTTATTTTAATTAAATTCTTTATTGTTGAAAGTATTATGTATGTCTCCTTTTCCCCTCATTGACTTCTCCCCACCCACTCCTGTGGTTTCTTTTTATTTTTAAAACTAGTGGCCTGGTGCACAGAATTCGTTCACAGGGCGGAGGGGAAGGGTGTCCCTCAGCCCAGCCTGCACCCTGCACCCTGCACCCACAGGGTCTAAACCAGCACTCGGACAACACCCTCGAAATCTGGGACCACTGCTCCTAATCGCTCACCTGCCTGCCTGCTTGATCGCCCCTAACCACTCTGGCTGCTGGCCTGCTTGCCCCCAACTGCCCCCTCCCGCTGGCCTGATCGCCCCCAACTGCCCCTCCCCCCCCCCGCTGGCCTGCTCACCCCCAACTGCCCCCTCCCCCTGCCAGCCTGATTACCCCCAACTGCACTCTCCTCCTGGCCTGATCACCCCAGCCGCCTCTGCTTCGGCCCACCGCCATGGCTTTGTCTGGAAGGACGTCCAGAAGGTCTCACGGTCTAATTAGCATATTACCCTTTTATTAGTATAGATTTGCTAACTACTAAACATTTTTAAAGTTACATTTCTAAAGATAAATGTTTCTTTATTTTTTTAATTAAATCTTTATTGTTCAGATTATTACATTTGTTCCTCTTTTTTCCCCCCATAACTCCCCTCCTCGCAGTTCCCGCCCCACCCTACGCCCTCACTCCCCACCCACTGTCCTCTTCCATAGGTGCACGATTTTTGTCCAGTCTCAAGATAAATGTTTCTTGATATATATTTTAAGTCCTATTGAAAAACTTAGGTCCAAAACAGTTGATAGTTCAGTAGTACTTTGAAAAATGTGTTGCCTATGTTAGTAGGAAACTTCAAGTTAAACAGTGCTAATACAGTATTATCACAGTTGTGAAATTTACGGCAGAATGTATAAATGTGAGAATACAGAATTGACTCACAGTTTTATTTTTACCATCTCATATTTCAGTCCCTAGCACTAGTCGTATAATTAGTTTCAGCTGAATAAATACCTCATGTGAAGTATTTGGAAGTGTAATAGTAATTCCCAATGGAACAAATGTAGGTTAGAAGTCATCTTGAAACATGGATTCTTTCTGAAATGAATGTGTATTATTTCGATAATGGATTTAATTAGAATATTTTTATTAAGTTAAACTATGGCTATTGTTAACATTCATTTAACTTTTTCCCCCCTCTTCATATAAAAGTTCTTTTTCAATGATAAATTTAAGACTGGGTATATATTTGCTTTGGAGAGAAGTACCAGTGACATAACCTGAATGTATTAAAATCTGAAGGTGAACTAGAATTGTCAGTGTGTATTGTCCTTATTGGATTGTTTAAAAATATGTATAATAATTACTCTTTGTATTTACTTGCCAGATGGTGTTGAGAATTTGGATTCGGGATGGCTGACGTGTCAGACTGAAATAAGATTACGTTTGCATTATTCTGAAAAGCCTCCTGTCTCTATAACCAAGAAGAAATTTAAAAAATCCAGATTTAGGTATGACCATGTGTATTTGTTAATTAGGCCATTTATTTTCACTAATGCTATAGATTTCTGGTTTTAGACTTTAAGTGTATAAACTAAAAAAGAGCACACTTTTAATGTTACGTTTTCTAATAACTACAGGGTCTTATGAGAGTGAACTGCTTCCCTATCTCAGATTGCTGCAATTACATGTACTTATGTTATTCTTAATCTCTAAATTTGAAACTAGAACACTGTGTTTTTATGTAAATAAATGATTTCCAAGCTTATACTTCTGTATGGTTTATACCATTTAAAATTTATTAGTGTAGCAATAAATTGCTTGTTTTAAATTGATATAAGAGAAATGGTTTTGTGCTAAATGAGGGTAAACAGAAAAATGATTGTTGGAAATATCCTTCAGTGCGCTAAACTTTCCTGTAGCTTACAAATGAGAACCTTTCCACAAAGAAAGGTAGCAGTTATCATAGCAGTTCCATATTAGTTTCTTTTTAATCATATATTAATTTAAAAAATCGATGTCAAGTTTTGTGTGAAAACTTTACACAAAAACTTTATACTTAGTGAGTAACTTTATTTTTCTGTAATGTCATCATATATGCCTTGGAGTGAGCTGGCTTCTTAGTGACCCAGGCAGCTCTGTCATTTGGATATAATTCATAATAATACTGCAGTTGCAAAATCCATAAATGTTTTACCATAACTGCTTAAATATCATAAAACTTTTAATACATAAAATAAATTATACAGTACATAAGGGAAAGGGTATGTAATACTTCATAGTTATTTGCATTGGCTCTTCTGAGAGTGAGTAAAGGATTTTGGGTGTACCTTGTCTCTGTGTATTTCTAGGCTTCTGCTTTGCTTCAGAAAAAATGGAGGTTATGGGACCACATGGTTGATCTGCAAGATCCATTTGACTGCAAAGATTCTCTAACCAGTTAGTCATATAATTTAATATCTTTTTAAAAAAATATATTTATTGATTTCAGAGAGGAAGGGAGAAGGAGAGAGAGATAGAAACATCAGTGATGAGAGAGAATCACTGATTGGCTGCCTCCTGCACGCCCCACACTGGGGATCGAGCCCTCAACCCAGGCATGTGCCCTTGGCCGGAACCGAACCTGGGACCCCTCAGTCCGCAGGCCGACGCCCTGTCCACTGAGCCAACTCGGCTAGGGCTATAATTTAATATCTTATTTAAATGTTAAAGGAAGCAAATTGTGTAATAACTATAAAATGTCTCATTAGCCATAAGACCTTGAAATAAAGAAAGCAGTAAAAGCCTTGGTTGGTTGGTCTTAATAAGACTTACTAAGAAATTCATAGATATTAATGGTTGGGGTTCTCATTGCTTTGCAAATACATACTGAGTCCTATACCATTCTTTTTTATTTTTCTATGAAAAGTTAACTTATTTTCTATACATATTTTTCATAATTATGTTTTCTTCAGTCTCCAAAGTGCTTGGTTCTCTTGCAGCTTTTTGTGGTGGTGTTTTTTTTTTTTTTATAAATCTTTATTGTTAAATGTATTACATATGTTCTCCCCCCCCCCCCCATTACCCCTTATTGTTTCTAGAAATTATTTTGAGTGTTTGTATATATTATAGTGTTGCTTAGGCTTAAGTTGGAATATTTCATATAACCATACTTAGTTGGGCTCTACAAATTAACAACTAATTCTTATTTTTAAAAATACATTTTTATTGAATTCAGAGAGGAAGGTGAGAGGGAGAGAAAGAAACATCAGTGATGAGAGAGAATCATTGATTGACTCCCTCCTATACATCCCACACCAGGGATCGGGTGTGCAACCTGGCCATATGCCTTGGCTGGGAATTAAACTATGACCACCTGGTTCATAGGTCAACACTCAACCACTGAGCCACAGCCGGCTAGGCTGATTCCTGTTGAAATAGTCATGCATAGCTAGAAACTGGTGTTCTGACCATTTTCCGTCCCCCCAAGTTTGTATTAGTGTTAGATTAAACCTTCATGGTATAGGAAATAATTTTAACTGCAAGGTTATAAGGACTTTAAAAACTTAGCAACAGCTTATACATCTTAACTAAAACACTAAACATGCTATTTTATTTTATTATCAAATTTTAAGCACAAGTTTCTCTTTCAGTTGACTCCAGCAGTAAGTGGAAAGCAATGTCTCTTTATGATAGACTATAACATTTATATAGCTATTTGAAGAACCCCTTTAACAAATTCTTTCATAGATCCCTTTAAACATGACTTTTCTTTCTTTTCTGGGGGTGAGGGAGGAGGGTAGATGCACATTGCTGATGACAGATTAGCCTTTTTATCTCCATGCCTTTCTTGCCTGTTCATTACTGTCCATTTGTGGTCTCTTTTCATATGCTCTGGTAGAGGATGTTTCTTCTTTCAGGTTCACCAATAGAATCGGTTGTCCAGAATTATTCCTAAGAGCTTTGGTTTATGAGAAGAGATGATGGGTGTGTTTTTTTTATTATTGAAGTGCTACTTTTGATTAGTACAGTATTACCAGTTGAATAATCTATATGGATGTTCCCTCAGGAAGACTTCAGAATTATGTGGCTATGTGATAAGGCTCAGCAGTGGTTGGAGACAGGAGGTCATGCAGGGAAAGCAGGTCCCACTAATACAGTTCCATTATTTTTATTATCAATCAGATCCCATTTAAATCTAGAATGAAAAGTTTTTGGAGCTTAGCTATTTATTACTCTTACCAGCGCTTTTCAACCAGAGTGCTGCAGAATTTTAAAAACATGTAATACCTGACTATTTAGTCAGGGGCACTCACCTCTTTTCCCTTATATTGTCAAATTAAAAAAATGGCAATAGCCAACACAACAATAGCCGTCCAGTGTGAATGAATCAAATTGTTGGTCAGACTGGCAAACAATTTAATATTTTGGTGTGCTGCATAATTTTATTAATTAGTTTATGTGTGCTGTGATTTAAAAAATGTTGAAAATCGCTGCTGTATACATTAACATTACTTCCTACATTAATAATATTAAAGTTGTTTTAAGTGCATTTCAGTTGGTACATTCTTGTATATTCTAGAATTGAGTACTTTGGGGCATTACAAGTGCTCTGTGCAAGTAATTGCCTTTTATTGGGAGTAGATTAGTCTCTGTTGGCCCTATGGCTTGGGTAATTGGTCTTTGTTTTCATTGCTGCGAGGCCTGTAAGAGTTTTAGACTCTTAGTTTATATGTTTGTTTTGTTTAAAAAAGTGCATAGATACACATAAAAGATACATACAGACAAATATATGTACTTAATACAGTGTTTTTCTTTAGTAATATACTTTTCACAAAGTACCCCCGACTCACTGTGGTGAGATAGAAGAAAGGTGAAAATAGTTTATAATCTCTAACTCTTAACAGTCTTTTAATGCAGATTAGCAGAATATGGTTCGATTTTGTGCTTGTTTTATGCATAGGCATTTGTGAGACATCTCAAAAGAAATTGAAATGGCCAGGTATAGATGGAGGGTAATAGTAAGTACCTTTTTAGGTTCGTTTTTTTAAAAACCAAAGAATTAATGGAAATGGCCTTAGGCTTAATGAGCATTTGTCTCATTTTAATACTTTACAGAAATATATGTAGATTAAAACATCAGTGCTTTTTAAAATAAAATTTTATTGATTTCAGAGAGGAAAAAAGAGGGAGAGAGAAATAGAAACATCAATGATGAGAGAGAATCATTGATTGGCTGCCTCCTGCACACCCCCTATTGGGGATTGAGCCCAAAATCAGGGCATGTGCCCTTGACTGGAATCGTACCCAGAACCTTTCAGTCCACAGGCCAAGGCTCTATCTACTGAGCCAAACCAACTAGGGCTAAAACATCAGTATTTTATAAAATATAGCTGATGCCTTAACCCAGTGATGGCGAACCTATGACAGGCGTGTCAGAGGTGACACGCGAACTCATTTTTTGGTTGATTTTTCTTTGTTAAATGGCATTTAAATATATAAAATAAATATCAAAAATATAAATCTTTGTTTTACTATGGTTGCAAATATCAAAAAATTTCTATATGTGACACGGCACCAGAGTTAAGTTAGGGTTTTTCAAAATGCTGACACGCCGAGCTCAAAAGGTTCGCCATCATTGCCTTAACCTATAGTGTGTGTAGTCTTTATATAATATACAGTGTAGGGCAAATGTAGGTTTACAGTTGCTGTATGGAAAATATAATTAATAAATAATAAAAAAAAAATTCTGTTTCATGTACTCACAATTGTAAACCTACTTTTGCTCCATCTTGTATTTTATTATTTGAAGATTTTGCATATTCAGGGAGCACTTCTAAATTTTAGCATTTAGATAACATTTTTATGAGTTTTCCTTTAGTTCCACTTTTTGAAATTCATTATTTTTTCCTTTTGTTTAGAGTGAAGCTGACACTAGAGGGTCTGGAGGAAGATGATGATGATAGGGTGTCTCCCACTGTTCTTCACAAAATGTCCAATACCCTGGAGATATCCTTGATAAGCGACACTGAGTTCAAGTGCAAGCATTCACAGCCGGATTGTGGGTATGGCTTACAGCCTGATCGTTGGACGGAATATAGCATACAGACAATGGAACCAGATAATTTGGAACTAATATTTGATTTTTTTGAGGTGAGTAATTCTTTAACTTGAGGGGGTTGAGAAGGAATGTAGGCATGAACTTTTGTGTATGTTTTCATTTTTATTGTAGTCTAATTTATATAAACCCATGATTTGTACAGCATTTTAGATGTTTAATCTTCTATATATTTTGGCAGGCTTAAAAAACTTTATAGAGTTGACAGACACAAGTACTACCTATATATATCTATATATATGAAAGCATAAGCGATTGTTACAACCCGTCAACTGAACAACCGGTTGACCAGTCGCACAACGCACACTGACCACCAGGGTTCAGACGCTCAATGCAGGCCGGTCCCTCCCCCTGACCGGCCAGCTGACCCCAATCTGCCCCAATCGGGACTGGGGTAGACGGCCCCAATCAGCCCCAATCACCGGCTAGGCTGAGGGACCCCACCCATGCACGGATTCGTGCATCGGGCCTCTAATTAATATAATTGAGGACTTCAACAAAATTGGTTTCAAATAAAGATCAGATGTCTTGATGTCTGTGTCTGTGCTAAATATAACTGTTGTTGGGCAACCTGATGAAACTAGCATGATTGAGCCCTTTTTATGACCAAAGTCTATGGTTTATTGAGGCGTTTTATTATAAGAACTAGAGGCCCGGCGCATGAAAATTCATTCACTGGAGGGGGCGGTCCCTCAGCCTGGCCTGCCCCTTCTCACAGTCCGGGAGCCCTCAGGGGCAGGAGGCGACCCAGCAGTCAGGGGAAGGTGATGCCCTATCACACCTCTGCTGCTGCCACTGCTGGCAGCGCAAGCCTCAGCTGGCTCTGGTTACCTGAGCCTTGGGCGGCCCTGGGCGGCTGGGCAGCCGACATCTGAGGCTTGCCTGTGGCTTAGGCGTCAGCTGGGCTGCTGCCATCTGAGGCTTGCCTGCACCTTGGGCTGGCCCTGGACGGCTGGGGGGCTGAGGGACTGGGGAACTACAGAGGCAGGCACGTGCCCTTGACTGGAATTTAACCCAGGACCCTTCAGTCCTCAGGCCAACCCTCTATCCACTGAGCCAAATCGGCTACGGCTCTCCACAGATAATACCGAGCCCTCCCCTGAGGTCCTTGCTCTATTGGGCCTGGCTCAGTAGTTATATGTATCACTTTCCCTACTTTCTCTTTTTTTGGCACTTTTACTCCCATTTTTACTTTTCTGAAGTTTAAATCTTTGAGAGTAGGGTATGTGCCTTGCTCAGCAGTAGCAAGTAGCCATGGTTTCTTGAAAATGGCACAATTCAGAATGGATTTAAACCCAATGAGTAACATTTGTTGTGTGTAATTAAAATTATAATCTTTGAATTGTTTAATTTGATGATTCCTTTAGACATAGCTTTTGTGAGTGGCTTTTTAGCTACTTTGCATTAGATGGAATTTACAGTATTTTCCCCAAAAAATAACTAAAAATACTTTTATTTTTTAAAAAAGAAAACTATAGTTAGGTCTTACCTAAGTAATATGACCTGTAGGATTTTATTATAAAAATATAAAGTTTTGGTTGAATGTTTTCTTATTTTTAAAAAAATGTATTTTTTATTGATTTCAGAAAGGAAAGATGAGGGAGAGAGAGAGAGAAACATAAATGATAAGAGAGGATCATGATCTGCTGCCTCCTGTATGCCCCCCAATGGGGATTGAGCCAGAAACCTGGGCTTGTGCCCTGACCAGGAAATGAACTGGGGTCCTCTTGGTTCATGGGTCAACACTCAACCACTGAGCTACACCCACTGGGCAGGACCTACCTTTCAGTAATTCCTTGAACAGTTTAACTTCCCTTTCATTTGGTTAGCAGTTTTGGAAATAATATTTTATTTATTAACTAGGCTGCTAAAAAAAAAAAAATACTCAGTGTAATCTCAGAGTGTTCAATTTCCTGGAGAGTTACCATCCCTCTATGTCATCTGTGTGGATGTGTTTTTATAGAATATAATATACATTAAAAGGTCACTACAGGTATACCTTAGTCTTGTATATATATACTAGAGGCCCGGGGCATGAATTTGTGCACGGGTGGGATCCCTCTCGGTGGCCTGCAGGGATTGAGCCAAATCCTGCAGTCCAACGCCGCCTGCAGCTCCTACCTGCCACTCCCAGTCATCCTGGCCCTGCTATGCCTGCCACGGGCTCATGCCCAATCAGTCCCCATTGGGAGAGGCTCACGCTGCCACAGCAGTGCTTGTCAGCCATGAGCCCTGCGTCTGGCACCCTCCCAAGGGGAGTGGACTGCGGGATCAGGCTGAGACCGGCTCTCCAACATCCCCCAAGGGGTCCTGGATTGTGAGAGGGTGCAGGCCAGGCTGAGGGACCCCACCGGTCCACAGTTGGGCTGGGGAGGGACCGTGGAAGGGCTCCAGGGCATGTCCGGCCCATCTCGCTCAATACCAATCGGCCAGACCTCAGCAGCAAGCTAACCTACCAGTTGGAACATCTGCCCCCTGGTGGTCATTGCACGTCATAGCAATGGGTCGACCAGTTGACTGTGCCCCCTGGTGGTCAGTGCACGTCATAGTGAGCAGTTGAGCAGCCTTAGCGTATCATTAGCGTATTGCTTTGATTGGTTGGTTGGTTGTTCTGCCATTTGGTCTATTTGCATATTACCCTTTTATTACCCTTCTAGGACTACAAGCCCGGTGCAAGAAATTCATGCACGGGGGTAGGGGAGGAGGAGGGTCCCTCGGCCCAGCCTGAACTCTCTCGAAATCTGGGACCCTTCAGGGGATGTCCAGCTGCCAGTTTAGGCCCTGTGGGATTCCTGCGGGATCGGGCCTAAATTGGCAGTCGGACATCCCTCTCACAGTCCGGGACTTCTGACTCCTAACCACTCATCTGCCTGCCTCATCGTCCCTAACCACTCACCTGCCTGCCTGATCACCCCTAACTGCCTCTGCCTGATTGCCCCTAACCCCTCTGCCTGCCTACCTGATCACCCCTAACCACTTGTCTGATCGCCCCTAATCACAACTCCTAACCCAGGATGCCTCAGCTCTCATAGCCCCAGCTTTATCTGGAAGGTCATCTGGACAGTCATTTGGACAGTCGATCTAGAAGCAGTCCGGTCTAATTAGCATATTAGCTCTTTATTATATAGGATATATTTTGTTGATTTTAGAGAGGGAGAGGGAGAGATAGAATCATCAATGATGAAAGAGAATCATTGATTGGCTGCCTCCTGCACGCCCCTACTAGGGATTGAGTCCGCAACCCAGGCATGTGCCCTTGACTGGAATTTAACCCGGGACCCTTCAGTCCTCAGGCCAACGCTCTATCCACTGAGCCAAATCGGCTAGGGCAGTATACCTTAGTCTTTGAACATAAAAATACTTAGTAACCTTTTTTTTCAATCCTCACCAGGGTATTTTTCCATTGATTTTCAGAGAGAGTGGAAGAGAGGGAAAGAAAGAGAAATATTGATGTGAGAGAAACACATCGATTGGTTGCCTCCTGCATGTGCCCTGACCAGGGCCCAGGCTGGGTAAGAGCCTGCAAACGAGGTATGTGCCCTTGACTGGAATTGAACCTGGGACTCTTTGGTCTACAGTGCGAGGCTCTGTCCACTGAGCAAAACCAGCCAGTGCTACTTAGTAACTTTTAATTAGTGCTTCAAATTCACCTAATACATATTAGAGGATCAGAAGTGCAAATCAGCAGAGTTAATGATTAATAAAGTAACGCATAAACTTTATGCGGTTTTCAACCTGTGGGTCGCGAACAATGAAAATACATCCTGCATTATCAGATATTTACATTGCAATTCATAACAGTAGCAAAATTACAGTTGTGAAATAGCAACGAAAATAATTTTATGGTTGGGGGTCACCACAACATGAGGAACTGTATTAAAGGGTTGCGGCATTAGGAAGGTTGAGAACCACTGGCATAAAGTCTTAAAATATTATATACCAAAAAAAAAGTATTGTTTACTACCAAAAAATGCTCTAAGAATTACATGGATATAAATTTGATTGTATTTCTTATTGATCCTCCTCCATAGAGTGTTTTGATCTTTAAATGGAAAATATTAAAGTGTAAGAATTCAGATTATTTTAAACCTCATTTTTTCAGGAAGATCTCGGTGAGCATGTAGTTCAGGGTGATACTCTTCCTGGACATGTGGGTACAGCATGCCTCTTATCATCTACCATTGATGAGAGTGGGAAAAGTGCTGGAGTCCTCACTCTTCCTATCATGAGCAGAAATTCCAGACAAACAATAGGCAAAGTAAGAGGTAAGCCAGGAGAAGCAGGGTGGCCCTTTACAAAGTAGCAGAGGTTAAGTTAAAATTTTTATTAGTTTCAAATTGGACTTTTGAAAATGTTAAAGATTAAATTAATGATTTGTCTTAGAACATTAATATAACAACAGGATATATCTATTGAATTTTCTGGAAGCTTTACTTTGAATCAGTTTTGACTTGTTGATTTCTTTCCTATTTGATAGAGATTGATAAAGCTAGTTTGAGTGGTATTTAAATGTAATTGAGCTCATCATGGCCTTTTTAATTGTCTTTATTTTTGTCCCACCCCTTTTTTTTCCCTACAAAAGTTGACTATATAATTATTAAGCCATTACCGGGATACAGTTGTGACATGAAATCTTCATTTTCCAAGTATTGGAAGCCAAGAACACCATTGGATGTTGGACATCGAGGTGCGGGGAATTCTACAACAACTGCTAAGTAGGTTGCATATTTGAGCAGTGTTAGCATTTGGTAGCTCAAACTTGATAATGTTAAATTAATTCGACTGACCAAAGGTCAAATGATTCTTTTATTTTTACCCTGGAATTTAAATTTAATTTGTGATTGGGATTCCCAGTTAAGATTAACTAGAGACTAACTCTCTTCTAAAGATTCTGGTTGTTTTTTTAATATGTTACTGAATTGATGATTGATGGTAAGAAAGCCAGCCCCCACAGGGGAGGAGAGTGAGGGAAAGGATGAAAAAAGTGAAGGATGATAACAGGCACAAACTTCCAGTTATAAAATGAATAAGCCTGGGGGATGTGTACAGGACAGGGACTAAGAGTCAATAATATCATAATAACTAATTGTGGTGATCATATCACAAGACATAAATATAATCACTGTTGTATATCTGAAACTAATGTAATATTGTATACCAACTATACTTTATTAAATTAACAAACAAACTAGAAAGCTAGGGGAAAAGCTTAATGCCGAATGAGTCAGCCAGATGACATCAGTGTGTCTGTATTGTGGTCCTGACTTTTGGCATGTTGCCCTCTCTCGGTCTGTTTCCTCACCTGTTCTCAATATACTTTTCATACTTCCACCCTGTTGGTGTGTCAGCCTTTCCCCATTGCCCCTGTCTGCCAGTATTAAGTCATCTGAGGCTTCGTCACAAGGAGCAAGTTTCTGTGTCTCCACTGCTTCATGCCATTGCAAGGGTTCTTTTCCTTAATTGGTTACCTCACTTGGGGAAGTTGGGTTGACATAGGATATGCTTGTAAACACTTATAATTTATGGAATAAATGTACACAGCAACCAAGTGATGATCACAGTCTTGCTTTGGGGATGGCAAAATTAATCGCAAAGTAGAGAATAAGGACTGTTTCCATTGTTGAGTATATAGCTGGCTTCTTTATTATATTTGTTTTCTTAATCTTCTCTATAATGTATGATAACTATATTTCTATGTATTCTCTTTTAGGCTTGCTAAAGTTCAAGAAAATACTATTGCTTCTTTAAGAAATGCTGCTAGTCATGTAAGTGAACCTCTCTTTCTTCAAACAACTTTGAACTGTTGTGGTTCAAAGGTAGAAAAGTAGATAAATGTGGGTCTGGGAAATCTCCAGTCTGCATTAATAGGTTAAAAGGGGGAGTATTTATGCTTCTTCTGAACATGTTTCTACAGTGAAGCATCTGTAGACATTTGTATTTAGATTCATGGTGCAGACTGAGATGAAAACAATGGAATTAGCCCTGGCCGGGTAGCTCAGTTGGTTAGAGCTTCTTCCCAAGAACCCAAGGTTGTGGTTTTGATCCCTGTTCAGGGCACACACACATGAAGATCCCTGCTAGAGAACTTGCAGGGATCTGCTTTTTGAGAGAGGATTTCATTAAGACCTTTCCTTTCCTATTTTGATTCCAGGAAACAATTGCTGTGCTATTGAAAAAGGAAAATACTTATAATGGTTTTAAGAGAAGAAATTACTTTTTAGGATAAAGCTTAAACTGTAGCATTAAATTCATGTGAAAGTTTTTTGTTGTTTGTTTATTTTTGTACAAGTCTATGATTTTATAGTGAACAGTAGATTTTTTATGTCCTTATAGTTTTATATGTATTGTGAGCTAGATAATATTTTTTAAAATACTTATTTCCTTTATTTCTGTCAGGGTGCAGCCTTTGTGGAATTTGATGTACATCTTTCAAAAGATTTTGTGCCTGTGGTGTATCATGACCTTACCTGTTGTTTGACTATGAAAAAGGTATGTTGAAATTCTTTCATTTATAAGATATATAGATAAGTATTTATTAAATAGAGTTGGACAATTAATTTTCTTGGTGAGTTACTGCCAATCCCTGTCTCTCTCAAGCTCCTACAACATTGAGAGACAGGAATATTAATCTCCAAGAGTAGGTTCTTTATATTGCTGAATTGGCTTTTTTATATCTATATCTATATATATAAAAGCCAAGCAACCAGAACGCCAGAATGATCAGTCACTATGATGCGCACTACAGCCTGACTGGGGCCTCTATTGCCCTCCCACAACCTCCTGCAGCCCCTCGCCCTGGCCAATTTCCGGCAAAGGGACCCTTCTTCCCCCAGGCCGACAGCCAACCTCTTGCGGCCCCTCCCTTACCAGCCCAGCCTGATCGACCCCCATTGGGGCAGATCGGCTGGACCCCACCTGTGCACGAATTCATGCACCGGGCCTCTAGTTATCTAACAAAAGAACATTTTAAGTGGTTTCTTTACCAGTCTGCCATTGTCTCTATATTGAGGCAGGAGAGGAAGCTACCAGCATGTTTGTTTTCTAGGCTCCCTTCTTTTTCTTCAAGGTCTTTCTCAAATTAATAGGCTAGCATGATTTGGCTGAAATGGGAAGGACCACAATGAAAACTACAATTAGAAGTGCTTTGGAGCCAGATATTGGAGGCCTCTGTGAAGGGGTTTTGAGCCAAGAAGGGAAATGTTCAGAACTAAACTTCCAGATTAATAATTTGATATCTGATATAAGGGGGAATTTAAAGAGGATGGAGAATAGAGGCAAGAGGTACCGTTATGTGGGCCAAAGATAAGGTAAGCCTGAGACTTTTGAGAGTGGAGAGGAGGACATGATAAAGATTTGAAAATGCATATAATTTCTTAAAAATTATAATTGTTGTGCAAACAGAATTGTGATAATTATATATCACAACTGCCTAAACTTCAGTATACAAATTAACCAAGTGATTTCTTAGGGACTTATACTACTGGGGTTTATTTAGCATTTTCTTTAAAACTTTTTTTTTTTAATGGTTTTAAGTATTATTTTCCACTGAGTTGGTTTGAAGTTAAGGCTAGTTTGCTTACATATGTAGCACTGCACCAGACCCTGCATGTTATGTAAGTAGATGACAAGGCACCTGGCTCTGCCAGCTAGTGGATTCTAATCAGTCACTTGGGTTGGGATTACTATGATGTATAGAAAAGGACCTTTCTGTTTCTGTGAAACATTAGGAGAGGGAGGGAAGGAGATGCACCTGTTAGATGACAGAAGTAGGATAACATAATAGAAATGGAGCAGGTTGTTTTTGCTGTGGGGAAACTAATGCATAACCAAGAAGGCGGTTAATGAATCTAATTTCTTTGTTTTGCTCTTAATTTGAATCTGGATGAGTTAATTGGGGAATGAGAGTAATGAATTGTGTATATTTTTAGTTTTAATTTTTAAGCTGGTATTTTTCAATAAAAGCAATGGTTCATAAGATTATGAATATAAGGTTGCCTTTCCCTTGGCCACATTCCCTTACTCTTAATAATCTCTTATGTGTTCTCACAGAAAAACTGTGCATATACAAACTCATACCATATGTATATAAACGAGTATAAAAGTAATAAATTTTAATGTATAGGGGTGTGCAAGCGTAGTTTTATAGTTGTGAGTTTGAGTACGCAAAACAGAGTTTATTCTTTTACTATGTATTATTATTTATTTGTATTACAACTGTAAACCTACTTTTATCCAGTCCTGTATTTGTTGGATTAATGGTTTATCTGTGGTACATTAACTTTTATTAAGATAAAGGTGCCTAAACAGTGGGCCGTTTGATATGATATTAAAGTCTAATAAAACAGATTTGCTCAAGGGGAAAGCATTTATAATAGAGTTCCTGTTAAGTATTACACTTATAGTTAATTAGAGGCCTGTTGCACGAAGAGATTCGTGCAATAGGCCTTCCCTTCCCCTGGCTGCCGGCACTGGTTTTCCTCCGGCACCCGGGACCCAGGCCTTGGCTCCGGCCGGAGCCGCCTTCAGTCTTTGCTGCTCTGGCCAGAGCCGCCTTCAGTCTTTGATCTGCCACTTCACGCCTGCGTATGCAAATTAATCGCCATCTTTGTTGGCGGTTAATTTGCATATCTCGCTGATTAGCCAGTGGGAGGCGTAGCGAAGGTATGGTCAATTACCATGTTTGTCTATTATTAGATAGGATAACATTTTTAATAACAATTGATTTCTGCAGCTATTCTTAACCAAACTTAAGTTTAAAAGGTTTAGAAAAGGTTAAAAGCTTATTAACAGAAATTAATTCTTACATAGTACTTGCATGTTGATTGCCTAGTCATGTGGCATAGATCTATGGCGAATAAAGTATATACAGGATGACAGGAAATAGAGGTAATCACTGAACCTCTGGCTTTGTTTTCAGTGTGTCTCCAGTGCCATAACCTGCTCCCATCTGTTTTCTTTCTTCCAGGAACTGCCACTTACATTAAAACCAAAAACCAGAATTTAAGAGCTGAGGTGTAGTGTTAGATAAGAAGGGCTCCTCTACATGGGCTCACTGTAGTCATCAAATAATTGTTCTTGTCATTCAGTAAATTAAGATATTAGTCCTGCCTGGGGTAAACATTCAGTAATAATTTGAGGCCTATATTCCTTTTTCTTTTCTATTTAGAAATTTGAGGCTGATCCGGTTGAATTATTTGAAATTCCAGTAAAGGAATTAACATTTGACCAGCTCCAGTTGTTAAAGGTAGTAATAACAGCATAAAATGTATATAATCTTTTATTTTAAGACTATTTGTACCTGTCTGTATATGGTAATGTTCTCTGCACATGGAGATAATATAGTCAACATGCATAGAGTATATGCTTTGGTTTTCTGTTCTATTAGGAAGAATAGGTTTGTGCCAATCTATCTGTCTTCTCTGTTTTCATGAACCCCCTTGGTTTTTGCATACGTCAAGGGCCTAGGCCAATGGTCGGCAAACTCATTAGTCAACAGAGCCAAATATCAACAGTACAATGATTGAAATTTCTTTTGAGAGCTAAATTTTTTAAACTTAAACTATATAGGTAGGTACATTGTTATTAACTTAATTAGGGTACTCCTAAGGCTTAGGAAGAGCCACACTCAAGGGGACAAAGAGCCGCATGTGGCTCGCGAGCCGCAGTTTGCTGACCACGGGGCTAGGCTATAAGTCTTTGTCAGCCCTTCTCATCCACAATTTTAGGTTGCCTCTGTTCTACTTTAGCCTTTCTTTATATAACTCACTACTTTACAATTGGCCTTTTATGCTATTAATAGGCTTTATACTTATGTCGCTAAGATCTTTGTATATTTTGTTATTCCATGTAATCTTATATGATCCCCCTTTCTATTCCCATTGGATACCTAAATAAATGGTTGATTGAGTATAAGTTTCCTAACTTAAGAATCTTTATATTCTTCTTCCCTACTTGGGTATTTGATTATGATCTTATATGTGTGTGTGTGTGTGTATGTATATATATATATACATACACACACACACACACACACACACATACACATATACACACACACAAAAACACACACACACATATATATATGCTTATTCTTATTAAACTTATAATTCTACATTTTATAGTTTTCTCTAACTTACTAGCTCTTCAAGTTAAAGTTCTTCATAAACTAAGGCTTTTTCTAATGATTGCATTTTGTGTGTGTTTTCTAGCTTACTCATGTGACTGCACTAAAATCTAAAGATCTAAAAGGTATGTACAAATATGGAAACACTGTTTTCATTTCATAGTTAGCATATATACAGTATTTCCTTATCCATTTTGACACACTGTTGGTCATTTAATGAATATAATACAGGGCTGTCCAAAAGTAATTTTATAAACATGAAAGCTTTACATATATTAATCTTCAAGTGCATATATGTCATTGTATAGATGATCAGAGGTCTTTATCATTTTGTACCTTTCAGTATTTCCAACATTCTTCACATTACAAAATGATAAGACTATAGCAAGGATAGAAGCCAGGAAAATGAAGGCAGCTCTACCTAATATTTACCAATTGTGACCTTGGGCAGTTTACTTGCCTCAGGTTCCTCAAAGCTTGTCCTGCCTACAAAATCCCTTTGTAATTCCACTTTACTTTCTCCTCCCATGGGACATAATAGTCTATGCCATTCATTTGAGGCTTAGTGTATCCTTTGTTGTTACCCTTTATTTTTATATATGCCCTGTCTCTTCAACTAGACTGTAAACCTCTGTAGGGTGAGGAAAATGTTTTTATGTATTTCGAGCCAGTGATTTCAGAGAGGAAGGAAGAGAGATAGAAACATTTATGATGAGAATCATTGATTGGGTGCCTCCTAAACACCCCACACTGGGAATCGAGCCTGCAATCTGGGCAAATGCCCTCACCAGGATTCAAACCATGACCTCTTGGTTTATAGGTCGACACTCAACCACTCAGCCACACCAAGCGGTCTTTTTTAACTTCTGAGACGATTTTGATATTTCAGATAGTCTTAGCAAGATGACATAGCTCTTAATTCCATTAAGAAATAACAAAACACTCTTGTGACTACCTTTTTTAAAAGAAGTATTACAACTTTTATGAGAAAATAATCATTGTTAGGACCACAGACTATGGTGTTTCTGTTAAATGTTGCATACTAGTCTTCAAAGAGGATGCTTATTTTAAAAATCGGGGGTTTAATGGTTAAAAATAATAAATATAAGAGCCTTCAAACACTGCATATGAAAGGATTTCATAATTACTTTAGCATGTCTTTTTTTGCCTACAAATTTAGAAAGAGATCTTAGTGATAAAATGGTATTTTTTTTAATCTACTGAGTTTTTATAATTTAAATTTTTCAGAATCTGTGGTTGAAGAAGAAAATTCTTTATCTGATAATCAGCCATTTCCTTCTCTTAAGATGGTAAGTTCCTTAGGAAAACTAGGGCAAGGCTATCTCATTAATTCTGTTATATCTGAATAACTTTATTCTCTTAAATGGGTACTAATATGGTTGTATCAAAGGCAATCCAATATAATAAAGAGCTAATGTGCTAATTAGACTGGACGGCAGAACAACCTTCCAGAACAATCTTCCAATCTTCCAGATGACTTCCCGGAACAACCAGTGGAGGGGGGGAAGGGGGAAGGGGGTGGAGGGAGGCCGCAAGGCAGCCAGGGCTGCGAGGGCCTACTCTTGCACGATTTTTGTGTATCAGGCCTCTAGTATTAATATAAACTTGTCATCATTGATGCTTTATAGAGAAGATATATTCTTATGTGGTGTACCTATGCTACTTTAAAAAAAGATAGTAATTTACCTGCTTAATACAAATTCCCACCTCAGTTGATTAATTTGATAAGAATAGGAAATTCACATATTTCTGTATATAAAAAGGAAGGAGAGGGCAGGGAACAAGGAGTTGGGGGAGATGTGATTATAAGAGAGGCATTTAACTGTTCCTTAACATTTTGGAGAGAAATTAGATCCTCCAAAGAAAATAAGGACCCTCATTACATAAAATGAGACACAAATTTAAAGAATTTACTCTGGAAAAGTATAAGAAAAACTAGCATGAATATTTTGAAACTAGACAATTTATACAGGAATCTATCTGACAGAATCGGGCAAGCCTATATGGACACCAGACCCTCTCCTTAGCTATGCTAAGTCTGCTTTTTATTCTACTGGCTCCATTTCCCAACTTCTACTCTTCTCCATTATCTTTTCTTGGTGATGTCACCTATAGGAGATTTCTTAAGGCAAAAATAGGTCATTTCAATTTATCACAATTATTCACCCTACAGAAAGGATGCTACAAGAGAAATCCTCAAATGGACACAGTCTTATTGGTGCATTTATTATTTTTGTCTTAATGCATTTAAAACATGATTTGAATAATTTTTCAGATATTTCTGAAGCCCAGCTAAGTAAAGTCATTCTTTCTATTCCAAAATTCCGAAATCATTTAGTTCTTAGAAATCTCATGATTCCTAAACTTGTGACTTCATAGAATGGAAAAAAGTTTTTAAAAAAATTGTTTGTGAAAGGTTTGACAATATTTGCTTAGTCAAATAAGTTCAACACACACACTCATTTATTCACTCACTTTGACATCACAATAATTGAATCACAGAGAAATTTCAAAGCCCCAAAAAGGCCAAATACAGTCTTCTCAGTATAAAAAAGGATCTTTTTTAAAAACAATATATTTTTTATTGATTTCAGAGAGGAAGGGAGAGGGGAAGAGAGATAGAAACATCAATGATGAGAGGGAATCATTGATTGGCTGCCTACTGCACGCTCCCAACTGGGAATCGAGCCTACAACCCAGGCATGTGCCCCTGACCAGAATCGAACCTAGGAGAGACCTTTCAGTCCGCAGTCCCACCCTCTATCCACTGAGCCAAACCAGCTAGGGCTAAAGAAGGATCTTTCTGCAAATTTGATGTTTAACAATCTTAGAACTATTAATATACTAGTATATACTATTGTTCTTATTTTTTAATTTTGTGTTGGTCCAGTAAAAAGGTGACAGGTGCCCTAGCTGGTTTGGCTCAATGGATAGAGGGTCGGCCTGTAGACTGAAGGGTCCTGGGTTCGATTCTGGTCAAGGGCACATGCCCGGGTTGCAGGCTCGATCCCTAGTGGGGGGCGTGCAGGAGGCAGCCAATAAATGATTCTCTCTCATCATGGATGTTTCTATCTCTCCCTCTCCTTTTCTCTCTGAAATCAATAAAAATATATTTTAAAAAATAGTGACGGTATGTTAAATAAATATTGTTAAAGATATCAGGGGGGAAAGTCAAAAGCCCCACACAAAATTGAGTACAACCTGTTTTAGGTACTGTACTTTTCAGCTGGTTAGTATAGACTAGTGATAGCGAGCCTTTTGAGCTCGGCATGTCAGCATTTTGAAAAACCCTAGCTTAACTCTGGTGCCGTGTCACATATAGAAATTTTTTGATATTTGCAACCATAGTAAAACAAAGATTTATATTTTTGATATTTATTTTATATATTTAAATGCCATTCAACAAAGAAAACCAAAAAAAATGAGTTCGCGTGTCACCTCTGACATGCGTGTCATAGGTTCGCCATCACTGGTATAGACCCAGGGCTAGATCCCAGGTCACCAGGCTACCAAGCTATGTTCTTACTATTACATTGTCTTTTTAGTGTGCTTTATTTGCTGTTATAAAATCAAACATCATATGTATTATCTATGTTAAATGGTTTCTAAACTTTTGAAATAAATTGAAATTAAAAACACAATCTGTTTCAAATTCATTTTGCCTTGTACATGTTTCTGTATTTGCCCGGCCTTCATGTTTGAAGACTAATTAAGTCAGCTCTTTGTAGTACAATAGCCTGGCTTTATAATTTCAATTTTATTTTCTACTTATGCTGCCAAAATGGTGTTATTGCAAAATGTCTAGATAACTTAGTTTAAATAAGTTGACACCGTATTATTTGTTCATTTATATACTCATAACCTTATTAATGAACCTTGGCATATTCTTTCATTTGGAGATAACATCTTTTCAGGGGGTTATCAGCATGATATTGTTAAGCATCACCACCTTCAAAAAAGTTAGGAAACATAGTTTTTCATATAACCATGACTTAGTATTAGTATATTGATATACTTGAATAAAATTCAGAAAGTACAACAAATGCCTTCTTAAATCCTTGAGGTCGCATAAGTTTATTGCGGTTCACTTTGGATATCCAGTAGTAACAGTGAGAAGAATTTTAGGTTAAGGATCCATCTTTGTGGTAGTAGTGATCAGTTATCACAGATAGTACCTAGGACTGTTGCTTTTGCTGTTTAATTTCTTTTGACTCTCTTAATTTAATTAAAGAGATTGTCAGTTGAGTATAAGAAAAGCTAGTGATTTAATGCTAAAAGCATTTTACTCTTACTAGCGATATATTTTCTTACAGATTGCTTTTTTTTAATAATTTTGTTTTTCTCTTTCCCCCTTATTCTACCATTCATTTCACCAAAAATAAAACAAAATTCACCACCAACAAACAAAACTCTAGGTTTTAGAGTCTTTGCCAGAAGATGTAGGGTATAACATAGAAATAAAGTGGATCTGCCAACAAAGGGTAAGTAATTCTTTGTGTATTCTCGTCTTTCCCTTTTCCTCTGTGTTTTAAATACATTCACTCTTATCTTTTTGCTTTAATGGAATAAGTGAAACTGAAAACTGACTGTGGTTTCTTCCAGTAAGCACAGTGCTTTTAGACCTTTTTAATAAAGCATATTTTATTTATTTTTAAATGTTTTTATTGATTTCAGAGAGATAAATAGAAATTTTTTTTTTTAAATAGAAATATTAATGATGAGAATCACTGATCGGCTGCCTCCTGTACACCCCTTACTGGAGCTTGTGCCATGACTGGGAACTGAACCATGATGATTTCATTCATGGGTTGATGCTCAATCACTAAACCACACTGGCCAGGCAATAAAGCATATTGTATATACTTATACTAATTTGTGGCTACTTAAAAGTAGTAATGAATGTATTATAGTAGAAATTTCCATGTTCATGTGTCTCGTGCACATTTATATGGGTGGTTTCTGGGCATGCTCATAGGTGAACAATAAGAACACTGGACAGTCAGAACTCTATAACTTTGATTAGTTTTTATTTTATCTTCCCCATCTAAACACATAATAATGTCCTAAGCAGTTTTCTATTAAGTGCTAGTAGCTAGTAATAATTAACCAGGAAAATAAATTTTTACAAATGTGTTTTAAATCACTCACAGATTTAGTCATTGTTTTGTTCAATAATTACATATTGAAAAGCTGTTAAAGGCCAGGTATTTTCTGAGTGCTGGGATCAAGTAGTGAAAGAATAAAGCCTTGCCTTCCTGGAACCTATATTCTGGTCGAGGAGAACAGCTATTGAATGTATCAGATGAGGGTACTTGATAGGCCTAAGATCCAAAGAATGAGAAATTTAACTAGTAATTCATATTTACCAGGTTTTGTTGTTGTTTGCAGTGAGTTAGCAAATGAAGTAGAGCCCTTTTGTCCTAAAGTTTATGAAGAATATATAAAACTATTTAAAAAGTCACAGTAGATTGCAAATTTCCAGTTTTAGTTTTTATTTATCTTATTAAAACAAAAGTCTATTAATGGTATAATTGCTTTGCATATAAGCGTCTCTATACCTGAATTATGATAGCTGCACTGTCGATAAGTAGCAATGTGTTCATGGGCACGTCATTTCATTTTTCAGGCCTTTGCTTTTCTCATCTGTAAACTAAGAGTTGGACTAGATGTTCTCAAGATTTTTTTCCTAGCACTGTGATTCCAGAGTAGTTAATGGCTTTTGTTTTCCTATTTGCTTCTTCTACATAGGATGGAATGTGGGATGGTAACTTATCAACATATTTTGACATGAATCTGTTTTTGGATATCATTTTAAAAACTGTCTTAGAAAATTCTGGAAAGAGAAGAATAGTGTTTTCTTCATTTGATGCAGATATTTGCACAATGTGAGTAATAGCCATTTTTTTCCTCATATACTCTCTTACTGTAGTTAGGACTTAGTGTACAAAGATTATGGTTGGAGGTGGGGAAGTGCTCAGACTTTACCCTTGATTTATCCTCTCAGAAAAGTTATATATATTCTCACTTCCCTTCAGGACTACCTGCTGGGATGCCCTTCACTCCTGTAAACTCCATACCCACTGGGTCCTAATGCATCATACCATGTATTGCATGTAACATCTTCCTTACCAAATTATAAGCCCTTAAAGGCTTTCTTTTTTAATTGATTTTTTACAGAGAGGAAGGGAGAGGGATAGAGAGTTAGAAATATTGATGAGAGGAACATCGATCAGCTGCCTCCTGCACAGCCCCTATTGGGGATGTGCCTATAACCAAGGTACATGCCCTTGACTGGAATTGAACCTGGGACCCTTCAGTCTGCAGGCCAATGCTCTATCCACTGAGCCAAACCAGTCAGGGCCCTTAAAGGCTTTCTTGTTGCCCATTTCTGAGAATATTTTAGGTATTGTATAGAAAAATTAAAATTTTTTTTTATTTTTTGTCTGAAAGGCAATACGCACATGTTAATGGTGATTATATCTCAGTAATGGGATTATGCTTGGGGGCGGTGGTCTTTATATATTTTCTAAAGCTTCAAAACAATATATTATAATTATCATCCCAATGAAAAGCATTTTTTAAATTGTCTTTTTTAGGGTTCGGCACAAGCAGAATAAATATCCCATATTATTTTTGACTCAAGGAAAGTCTGATATTTACCCTGAACTCATGGACCTCAGATCTCGGACAACTGCTATTGCAATGAGTTTTGCACAGTTTGAAAATCTACTGGTAAGTTATGTTTGAATTTCTTAATTTTCATTTTTTAAAAATGCTCTTTAGAGAAGAAATAAAGTTTCATGTTCCATTATACATCTAATTGGTTAGTTTTGACCTATTTATAACAAGCAGATAGTTCTACTTAAAAATGAGAGTATTAGGTCTCAGAATCAAAAGCAATTACTTGAACAAAAAAATATATACATTTTCTTGAATGCCTACATTAAGTAAGTTTTGTAGTTGAGTGGATTTTATGATTTGTCTGAAATGACTTAATAATATAAGTTGTGTAAGAAAAATTATACATTGTCTTTTCCTGCCCACTCAACTTTGGAGAGCACTGATTTAGAATATGACCATTTAGCATTTGCAGTCAATAAGTTACTTTTTCATGAGTAATTTATTTTTCTCCCATTAGGGGATAAATGCACATACTGAAGATCTGCTCAGAAACCCATCCTACATTGAAGAGGCAAAAGCTAAGGGACTAGTCATATTCTGCTGGGGTGATGATACCAACGACCCGGAAAACAGGAAGAAATTGAAGGAATTTGGAGTTAATGGTCTAATTTATGATAGGTATTTGTTTTTCATGAAAAACTTTCATGAACTGTTAGCAAAAAAGTAGCTTTCATTTTATAGCATAAATACTATTAAACTTAGTTAAAATTCAGTAGCTCAGCCTGAGGTTTATCTTAACATTTGTCAGTGGAATTTTTCATACTTTAAAAATCACGTGGGAAGCTTGTTCTGGTGACTGGGCTCTAAGTTACCTTGAGGGTGAGGCTGTCTGCCCCAGACCACTTCAGTCTAAACCAGCTTTCTTAATGATCTTACCCAGTTCTGTGGCTTTTCATACCTTTATATATTCCTAAATTTTTATATCTCCAACTCAGATCTTTCCCTTGACCTCTATCTAAACTTTTTTTTATATATAAATATATTTTTATTGATTTGAGAGAGGAAGGGAGAGGGAGAAAGAGATACAAACATTAATGATGAGAATTATTGATCAGCTGCCTCCTGCATGCCCCCCACTGGAGATCTAGCCTGCAACCTGGGCATGTGCCCTGACCGGGAATGGAACTGTGACCTCCTGGTTCATAAGTCAACACTCAGTCACTGAGCCATGTTGGTTGGCTCTCTGTACTTTTTTTTATCTAGCTATAGATTTAACCGATTTCAGTATAAATGACAACTCTTGTCTTTCCAGTTTCTCATGAAGTCCTTCATGATTCTGTTCTTTATCTCATATCCCAAATCCAGTCAAACAAAATCATGTTGATTCTATCTTCAAATATATCCTGAATCTATCAACTCACCATGTTTACTGTTGTCACTCGCAAGCTACCTCATTTCCAAGGTGCATTATTGAAAGAGCCTTCTCACTGGCCATTGCCTCCACCCCTGACTCCCTGCTGTCTGTCTTCAGCACAGTAGCCAGAGGGTGCCTGTTAACATCTCGGTCAGATCATGTTACTGCTTAAAACCTAAGAGTAAAATTCCAGGCCCTTTCCGCCCCACCCCCCTCTCCCCGCCAATGTCAATGTCTCAGTAAAGTCTTCCCTGAATATCCTAATTCAGATAACAACTGCCATTCACAGTGAACAACTGACTTTTCTCCCTAGCATTTACCACCATCTGACATAATATTTTACTTGTTTATTTTCTGCCTGGCCTGCCCCACCCCAATACACCCAACACAAACATAAGCTGCATGAGGGCAAGACTCTGCCTGTTTTATTCATTGCTGCATCTTCAGAGGTTAGAACAATATCTGATACAGAGTGGCTGGCCTTCAAATATTTGTTGAACAAATCTTTTTATTTTCTTTTTTTATAAGTTCCCTGAGTGTTTAGATGTAAGTTTGAGTCGCTAATCTGAGAAATGAAAAGGTTGCTTAATATAAAGACATGGGGTTGGAAAGGATGTTATTTGCTCTGCTTGCTAATACTTGCGCAGCATCATGCAAAGAGTAAGTGATGAACTTCTTACCAGTCCTGCTTTAAAAAAACACCTTCCTTGGATTTAGTTCATATTACTGCTTGTCCTATAAAGTTATATCACTTTCTTAATAAAACTTTTTTTTTACCGTCGTGTCTGAATGAGTCTGGTTTTAAAATTGCAGCTCAGATAATGTTTGCCTTTCTTTTAACTACTTGGTTAATTTTGCTTTAAGCAACAGATTTCATAGGTCCTTTTAATAGATATATCCAACTAATTAAAGGAAAAATAAAATTTTAAATCAACAATTTGAAGGAAGTGTTTGCTTTAGCAAAAATTTGAAGATTTTTTTGTTTGTTTCTTTGAGGAAGAAGAAGGAATGATTGTAATTATTTTTGGGCAAGAAAATGTATTGTGATGTTATACCATGTATAACTTTGTAGGGTATACACATTTTAGGCAGACCCATCATCTCAAGGGCCTTACTTGTTTGGAGGCAAATACTGACATGTAATTGAGAACAGGAAGATGCTCTGCGATATATATAGCCCTAAAGAAAATGAGTTCTTCCTGGCCCGAGGTCAATAAGAATAATTTTAAAGAGGAAGCATTGAGATGGATTTGGGGGTGTGGTTAAATTTGTTTTGACAGGATATGCATTTTAGGCAGAGGCTAGATGAATCAGGGCAGGACTGTGTTGAAGGTGTGGAGGATTTTGAGGAGACACCCAGCACTGGGCTCCTGCTAGAGTCTGATGACAGGTGAGGTGGGTTGTGTTAGAATTGGTTTTTACCCTCGAAAGTTTTTTTAAAAATTTTACTCAAAGCAGTACATATGTATGCATAACTATTTGTGTGTCTTTGTGTATATATATACATATATAGCTTAAAATTACATTATATATATATATTGTTTAGAAATGTAAATAGTTTTATAAGACTTATAATTTATAATAAAAAACAACAGGTCCTGGCCGGGTAGCTCAGTCAGTTAGAGTATCATCTGATACTCCAAGGTTTCTGGTTCGATCCCTGGTCTGCACACATACAAGAATCAGCCATTGAATGCATAAATAAGTGGTACAACAAATTGATGTTTCTCTCTCTCTCTCTCTCAAATCAATTAATATGTCAATAAAAGAGGCAATCCCCTACTCCTGTCCCTTTCATTGTCTCTAGCTGAGTTCCTATGCCCTAATTTTTTAAAGTTGTTTCTTCTGGTACTTAATGTGCTTATGCTATAATTTTTTCATTATCAAATTTCAACATTATATAGAAGATTTTGAATGATTATTGATTCATAGTCTTTCATTCATTTTACATTGGGGAGAATTATGATGAGGATGGGTATTTTAGTCAATCAGAAACTAATTTGTTCTCTTCTTTTACAAAGGAATTAACACAGTAGATTTCCATTTCATCATGGTTTTATGATATATTATCATATAAACTGGTACGTTTGATTTTCTGATATTTGGAATTTTTGCATTTATGATAATGACAGAGATGGCCTTTATTTACCTTTCTTGAATGGTTTGATTTTTGGTGTGGAGATAATACTTGCTTCGTAGAGTAAATTGGGCAATGTCCCTCTTTTTATAAAAAAATTACTGTGTCTGCTCAAATAATTTAAAAAATACACTAACACATTTAAAGAACATTATCATTAAATTATGAAGTCCCCGATGAGCCTCTTTCTAACTCTGTTCCTTTATCTTCTCCCTCACATATAACTGCTTATCAAATTATTCTCGTTAACATTTCTTTTAATTCTATCACTAAACAATATACCATTTAGTTTTGCATGGCTTTAATCTTTATTTGTATTTTGTTGCATGCAGCTATAATCTGCCCTTCTTCATGGCTGTAGAACATTTATGGTTGTATGTGTCTATTACAGTTTATTCTATTTGAGAACATTTTGGTGGTTGCCAAGTTTTTGCTATTACAGCATTTGCTGTAAATATTGTTGACCAGGTCTAGAATATATTTGTAAAGTTTCTCTAGGGCAGTGACTTTCAAACCTTTTTGATCCCAACCCAATTAGATATGCATTTTACATAGCAACCCAGTGCACACAGAGATTAAAGGTTTCTGCAAGCATTGTGGCCGGGCATAAAACGCCATGTTAGAAATCATTTCCTTAGAATTTTAGAAATAGTTCTCTGTTACCTTCATAAGTTCAGTGTTGCTGTTGAGGATCAAGAAACCATGTTCATTCCTGTTCCCGCACATATGGTTTCTTTGTTTCCTGTCAGGAATCTTGGAGAGTCTTTGTCACCAGTGTTCTAAAACTTCATAGAGATGGGTCTTATGGGTCTGGTTTCACCCATTGTGCCGGGCACTTGTTAGCCCTGTTAGTCTGTTGAAAATGTGAAAAGTTTCATGACTTGCTTCTTAGATTTTTGTCCCTTCCATTTTTCTGACTTTTTAAAAAATCTTTGTCTTTTTGCTCCACTTGGAAAGATTTCTGCAACCTTACCTTTTACCCATTCTATTGAGGTTTTCACATCTGCTGTTGTGTTTTTCATTTCCAAGGACTGTCTTTTTTCCCGAATGCTCTTTTTTCTGTATGTGTAACACCCTGTTTTCATTTTATGAAAGTACTATTTCTCTGAAAGCAGAAGTTTTTGTTTGTTCTTTTGGAATTTTCTTCTCTTTTACTCACCTGTTAGAAGTTTTCCTCAGATGTTTGGAAATCTTTGGCTGCTTCTCCTAAGAGATTAGAATCTACAAAGCTTGTTGGAAGCTGGAGTGTGTTAACTTGGATTTCACTATGGGTGATCTAGGTGGCCTGTTTGATCAGACCTCTGATATCACTAGATTTAGAAATTTACTTTTTGACTTATCAGATTCCTCCTAGAAGAATCTATATCTACATAGACGTGGGTCTGGCTGCCAGGGTTGTTGGAGCCAAGAGAGGTCAGAGAGCTGGGGAAGAGAGGGCATGTCTCTGTGTAGCATTGATTATATATATGTACTATCTCTAATTCCCTGGTGCTGCGGGAGGTTTTGTAAAATGTCCAAACCCTCACCTGGTCGAGTCCCCTATTCCAAGAGATTTCCTGTCTAATGCTTGAAATAACTTCAGTTAGTGTGTGTGTGTGGGGGGGGGGGGGGGGGTGCAGTCTTGGGGCAGGGAGTTAGGAGGGATTTAACTTGCTGCTGCTTGAAGTCTTCACTCCACCCTCCCTGTTTCAGCCCCTTTCCCTTTCACTCCCAGTTCTGGAGAAATTTGGTGCTGCTTTTAACTCAGCCTTTGCATTTTTCCCATTACTAGCTTGTGATTTGGCCTTTTCTGTCCTGTTAACTAACACTTTATTACACTTTATGATCCACCTATTTTCCAGCTCTCAAAAGTTAGTTACTGTGTCTCTGGTTTTTCCCATACTCCTGAAATTTTTTTTAAATCCCTTTGCTTTATTTTTAACGGGCCAGGGGGCGGGGGGGGGGGGGGGGGTGGAGCAGGGGAGAGGGTATGGGGAAAGGTCAAGTTAGATAATTCTGTTCAAGTTAGATGATTCCTTGACCCAGATGTCACTTTTCATTCTCTTATATGTCTTTAATGAACAGAAAGTCTTTGTTTTATAATAGTCACATATTTAATAGGGTCAATGCATATTTTTATCTTGTTTATGAATTTTTTCCCACTGTGATATCATAAAGATTGCCTTGTGGTGACTCTTAGAAGTTTCCTGTCTTTCACAGTTAGGCATGCACGGCCATGTTATCTGCTGATCTGCAGTGACAGTGCTGCCACCATCACCTGGGGCTTTTCTGTGCTGGTGACTGGGTCTACCTGCCAATATTGCACAGCTTTAGCATGGTTCTCAACCGGGTGAGAAGTTCTCATCTTGGTCTTCGTGATTTGAAGTCAGAGTTGGGTATTAATTCCAGCTCTGCCTCTAAATAGCTTCCCGTCTGTAAAATAAGACATTGCCAATTAATTGACTTGGAGAGAAGATACTTGAAGAATGACCAGTAAGCTACAGATTTCATTTTCTGATTCAGTTGCTTTCTAATCAGCTCTTTTGCACCCAGGGCACAAAAGGAAATGCTGCTATTCTGGGTTATCAGAAAGACAGGGGAGAAGAGACATACTTTTAAGTATTGGGTGTTCCAAAAAATGTATACACATATTTTGAATAATTACAGAAAGCAGTGTTTATTAAAATACATTTCATTTTAAAATTTAAGCTATCAGTTAAAGTGTATGTACATTTTTGGGGACACCCTGTCAAACTAGTGCTTATACATCTTTTTTAAAAAAAGATTCTTGTAATCTGGATGTGCTAGGCATTCCGTAAACACATTCTTGTAAAAAGGTTAAGTCAGACTGGTCTTAAATAAACACAAATTACCCTATTTTATGTGTTTTGTGTTTGTTTCATCATAGGATATATGATTGGATGCCTGAACAGCCAAATATATTCCAAGTGGAGCAGTTGGAACGCCTGAAGCAAGAATTGCCAGAGCTTAAGAGCTGTTTGTGTCCCTCTGTTAGCCACTTTGCTTCCTCATCTTTGTGTGAGGAGCCTGGTATCCATGTGGATGCCAACGGCATTGATAGCATGGACAGTGCTTAGTTTTTATGGGGCAGAGGCCATCGGGGGGCATGCACTGCTGTTCTGGGTATTCACTTTTCATGAGCATTGTTTATCTATGCCTTTTAGTTTCTCAGTCCAATGAAGCAATAATGAAGTATTTTACTGTTTCACTACAGTTCTTGCTAGAATTTCAAGTATGCTATTTAAATCACTTGGCCAGGTATAATTACCAGTCAGCCTCTTTACAATGAGAAAATGTATTGGTTGGTAAATATTTTAAACTATACATGTAAGTGGATAATGTTAAACAAATGTCCATTAAAATCATAGCACTTTGAAATTAACTCTATAAATATCTCTTATTTACTCTTCTTACAGTTTTTCATTCAATCAGGTCTGAAATATTTAGCACTTGAGGAACATGACTATGCATAATTATACCTGACCATGGGAAAAATAAGTACCTCAAATGCATGCATTTGCACTGGTGATTCCAACTGCACAAATTTTTGTGCCATCTGTGTATATATGTATTTTTTACATGGGCTGACATGCACATCTACCATTTTCCTTCAGTATGAACCTTGAGGCTGCTGCCTTTTTTCCATTTAACCAAACCAATGCCTGTGTAAACAGCCTAGAGGTGATCCTTGAAAACTTGTTTCACAAATTGTTTTGCATAACTGTTAAAATTTTTGAAATGCTGCAGGGTAATTTAATGTATAAAATGTTAGAAGAAGTATGTATTGCATACTTAGTAGAGTAGATCATTATGTGTAAATTCTACTCAATGCATGCTTTAGGTTTTAAGCATGAGATTGTACACGTTTACCGTAAGTCCTTGCATCTGTGGTGCTAGGTAAGTGTGAGAAGGTGTCAAGGACTAAAAATAAATACTTTGTTGCCTAAAAAAAAAAGGCCTGTTTGCAGGCATTTAAAATATGCTTATTTTAGGTCTCTCTCACTACCTACTACACACCGTTGCTTTATGGGTTTGTTTTGTGTGTGTGTGTGCTGTGTGTGTTGTACAGTAGTTAAATCTCCTTGCAAAAAAATAAATATCCTGAATTCTCATATTGGTATTCTTTATTGATTAATGTATATCATGCATGTAATTTATTTAGAAATGTAGAAGATCCGACTAAATGTATAGGCATGTTTTGAGAGTTATGCTAAGGATTCTTTCATTAGAAGCTGATTGTTTTTGGCATAACTGTAATTTAAGAATGAATGTTAAATAAAACGCACAGAATTATTTTCTTCAATATAAATTGAAATTGCAAGAAGGTGTTACTTTTGTAGAATTGGTTCTATAATATTATGAGAAATTGGAATTTAGAGTCTACCCTAAAGAGATGTCTTATTTCCATCTACCTTTTACTGCATGTTCTTCACTAGACAGTTTATTCATGTATTGACATATTTTGGTAGTAGCTGCAGACCTAAGACTTGGAATCACACATTGTATCTTTTTATTTTTTAAGCCAAGCAATGCAATTTTGGTTAGATCTTAATTGTGTGAAGATAGGCTTTGAAATTGTATGGTTTTGTGTTTGTAACACTGATATTTAATGGAAAGTAGTTTCGGAAAATGGAGTCTTCTGCCAGGGCTCTAAGTATTTTTCCCCCACATTGAGATTCTCCAACGTTTTGGTGTGTATTAGGTGCCTTTAGAAAACTCCTTAAAAAAGTTTTTTTGTTGTTTTCCTCATCTTCAGACTTGTACAGTACAGTTACTGTCACCTGATCAGCCGAATGTGTGCAGTTCTAGTCCTCTTCATTGGCTCCTCCCCTGTGCCTTTCACGTTCCAGCTCCACTTTGAAAACTTGCAGATCATAAAAGGAAAAAATGGGGGAAGGAGGAGAGGCGATGTGGGTTAGGAGGTTTCCTGAACAGTGTAATTTTTTTAAAATATTTATTTTTATTAATTTCAGAGAGGAAGGGAGAGGGAGAGAGAGAAACATCAATGATGAGAGAAAAATCATTTTTCGGCTGCCTCCTGCACTCCCCCTACTGGGAATCAAGCCCGCAACCCTCGCATGTGCCCTTGACTGGAATCAAACCCAGGACCCTTCAGCCTGCAGGCTGATGAGCCAAACCAGCTAGGGCTGAACAGTATAATATGCTGAGAAGAGCTCATAGCCTCACTGCTCACTTTCCTGTAGATGATTAAAGCATAGCACGCAGTGTCTCCCATTTATTCTAGGACTAAGTCCAGGCTTTATCACTTGCTTTGCCCTGTGCACTCTGCTCCAGCCACACACTGTATCTATGCTAGGCCCTGGCCACATCATGCTCCCTGTCGGAAGCCTTGTGCCCTCTGCTGCCCACAAACACCTTCTCCTTGCCAGATTCATTTCTCCTTGAGCCATCGACCTCTCTGCCCTGAGCCTTTGCGAAGCTCCTTCAGAAGGGATGAATCTGTCTCCTGGACTCTAGCCATGTGGTTGTACCTTGATCATGTGCATCACAGGACATTGTGGGTAGGCGCAGTTGATGTTTGCCTCACCTACCAGGATGCGGACTCTTCCAGGGCAGGAAGCTTATCTTACTCATTTTTATTTCCACAGTAAATGGAACATAGAAAACAAATGTTGGAATTATTGAGATAATATAATTCATAGCAAATGTCCTCTTGAATTAAGAGATTTAGTTATGTTCACTAAGAATGTAAACTTTGAATTGACTTACATTTTAACAATTGGAATGGTTTATTGATGTCATAGAGGTATAATGTTAAGTGATTTTATGGTTTCTGGAAATTGAGTGAAATGTCTGATAAAATACCGCCATTCTTTGGTATTTCCTATTCTCTGGAATTATGTACTGTAACCAATGGATGTAAGTGTGAGGAATACAGCTCATTCTGTGTCAGTAGTGCCTGGGGGCTACCATGGCCACCCTTTACCTCACTCCCTTCTTCCTTATGACGCTTGTCTTCCCCTCCAAATCCCATGTGTACGCCTACCTCAGCCCCCTGTCCTTGTTGGAAATGCCTTCTGTCTTCCTTCTGTGTCCAGCTCAGGTGCCACCTACTCCATAGAACTTTCCTCAGCTCTTAATCAGAATCATGATGCAAACAAATGCAGACAGCCTCAAGCTCACTACTTCATTTTGCAGCTGAGGTAACAAACCCAGAGAAGTTAACTGACCATGTTGGGACTGGAACTGGGTTTTGGGACTACACTGTCTTCGTAAACTATGCTGCCTTCTGAGTTCTCGTGGCCTTTGTTAGCATGTGCTTTCTAAAGTCCAACTTCTTGTGTGCCTGTTATTTTCCTGATAAGATTGTAAGCCCCTTAAGGGCAGGGATTTCTTTGCATTTCCAGCACTACTGTAGTGTTCTATACTTAGTTATGAACTAGATAAATAAATGGCGGTGGCAACAACCCTAGTTTCTTAATTCAGATCGCTTCACAGTATACATTCAATTTTATATGGCATGCTTGGCCATATTGTTGAGTGTGTGCTCACATGTGCATGTGTGTTCATGTGTATTTGCATGTTGACACATGGAGTTCTTATTCTGCCCTGGTTGGTTGAGCTCACATATTTGCTTTACTAAAAACCAGTTTTCTACCTCATGCTGAGTGAGGACAATTATGGGGATAAGGTATGGTTTCCTTTCCAGTTGCCTGGTTGCCCTTTCTGGAAAGTGCTGCCTTGGATAGGACTCAAGTGCCCAGTGGGGTGGCTGTCTTATGAGTGCTGATGAGCCATCATTGCCCTCTTATCTTGGCGCTTTCTCTTCACAACTTACCTGCATGTTGTCGATCACATTATTACTGGTTTGGTACTCTAGAGTGACAGTGGAGTCCTGTTCATTTAATTTGGATATAACTTATTTACTCTAGCATTTTAGGTTTGGTTCATGTACTTCTGGTCTAGAAAACAAATTATATTAGAAATATTGTATTAATTTTGTATTCATGAGTGGAAATTCAAGTAGAATCTCTTAGTTTATATAGTCTGAGAAATAGATTTGAGTGTTTAAAATGCAAGAGAGCATATGATTAAGATCATATGAGTGTGTTGGAGGTGAGGAGAGATCCTGGGGTGGAACAGACTCCATGAACCTCAAGCTCTTACTGAGTGGAGAAGAGGTCAGAATTGCTGCAAAGCCAATTTGGGTTATAGCCTTTGTGACCACAGAGGCCAGGGAAGTGTTCATGGTGTATTCAGGGAAGATGAAGACGCCATTGCAACAATGGAGAGGACATTTGAGTGCCAGAGGCTTTGCATCCTAATGATTTTAAGAGGAAATGACATTAAAAAGTATTTTAAAATAGTGAAGAAAGTATAGTACAGCAATAATAAAAGAACAGAGGTTAAATTATCTAATCCTCTACTAAACTGATCCAAACTGAAGTGTGGGTGGAATGGGTGAATTGAAACTTACTTGCAAAGCCAAACTATATAATTTCACAGGAAGAAAACTAAAAGCTTAGTAAAAGCTCCATGGCATCCCATGATTTCAAGAGTATCTCTAGCCCAGACCTCTCCCAAGCTCCAGATTCACACATCCAGCTGTCGGTCTCCGCTTAGAGGCTTAATGGACATTACATTTACTGTACCTCGGCTAAGCTCTTCCTCCGTCTCTGCTTCCACCCCATCTCCAGTGTTCTACGTCTCAGGAAGTGGTGCTGACAAGTCTCCCACGATTTTTCTCTTCCTGAAAACTTGAGATTAATGCAGTGTTATGATACGTGGTAGGTCAGTTGCCCATTTGTTCTTTTGATTCAAAAAATTGCCTTCCACCCATTTTGTTTGTTTGTTTGTTTAATATAAGACTCATCAAGGGTCAGAAAAGTTCCCTTGGGATTTTGATCAGTGTTGGATTGATTTTCTAGATTAATGTATGGGAAGGATTAATACTTTTAAAAATACGAAGTTTTTCTATCCAGAACAGAATATGTGTCTCCATTTATTCAGAATTTTTATGTCCTTCAGAAAAGTGAGATTTTTTTTTCCATTTAGGTATTGTGTACTTAAAGTTTATTCCTTTATTGAAGAAAAAAATGCTTCTATGAATTGCTTTTTTAAAAAATTCCTATTATATTTCCTTAGGTACATTCTTCACCAATAATGCACAGTTAATTTTTGTTTAGTTTACTCTAGCAACTTTGTTAATTCAGTTAGTCAAAATAGTTTGTTATTTAAGTCTGGATTTTCTAGGCAGCTAGTCATTTTCTCTGAAAATGCATTTTTCTGATTTTTAATAATGTCCTATTCATTAGCTAATTGTAGGCATCCTTGTTTCTTTCCTGCATGTCTTGGGAAATAAGTGTGCTGGCTGCTGAAGGTTCTTCTAGATCGCCTTTATTAAGTTATGGAAATTTCCTTTTCTTGGTTTCCTCCCCCCTCCTCCCCTCCTCCCAAGGGATAGATTTTGAATTTATCCAATGAGTTTTCAAAGATTTAGAAAACAATCATAGTTTTTCATTTATCTATTAATTTTAATGGAGTGACTGAAGCTAACATTTTCTAATATTGAATTACCCTTTAATGTATATAAAACCTATTTATGAATGACTAACTGATGTGCTAATTTGTTTTGGATTTATTATCTATACTCATAAATGAGATGAACTAGTTTTCTATGCTATATGTAGTTTTAGAGACCCTTTTGATAGCCTTATAAAATAAGTAGCTTTCAATTTTTTCTATCTAGTGGTATAGTTTATATAACATGAGAATCATCTGTTCATTGAAGATTTGATAAACTCTCCTGTAAAACAATATGCATATTTTTAAGTATTTTTACTACACTTAAAATTTCTTCTTTAGTTATAGTCTGTTCATGTTCCCTACTTTTTCATTGCATTTATATTTCCTTGGGAAAATCATCCAGTTTTCCTAGACTTAAAAAAAAAAACACCACAAACACATATACAAAGCTGTGTGTTGTATTTAGTGAGAGAAAGTGTGTGTGCATAAAATCTTCCCTAAGTATGACCACTTTTTTGTTAATATTTTCTTTGGGTGAGGGGCTGCATTCTTGATTAGATTGCCAAATACACACACTAGAGGCCCGATGCACGAAATTCGTGCAGAGGGCTCGGCCCTCACAGGC